AAAGCCACCGATCATATGGACACAATGAAAACTGACAACAAAAGGAGCGACAGAGTCAAACTCAAAAAGTTCTTTTTTCATGTTTTCAATTCAAATATTAATGGAGGCACTTTATCCAGTTGGGTCTGTCAAAGATTTTATCGAACAGTGTCATCCTCTCGGGCATTTTGGTTTTGAATTTCGAAAAACTCGTCTTGCAAGGAGCCAATTTGTTGTCAGAAATAATCCAATCTATGGTCAGGGTCAATCATCGTACTCTTATGGATCATCATACCACAGCTTGCCCAGCCCATCAAGAACAGTACAGGCCTGTTTGGTTCTTTAAGATATTTAAATTTCATTCAATGAAAATGTGTGTGGTTGGTAATACTTTGAAAATTAACATGGATGCAGAATCTTGTGTAATAGGGCAAGATAAAAACATTTTCCAAGATCAAGAAAATTATGCAATTGACAGAGGATGTCCTTAATGACTAGCACTAAACACCTGATGGCCCAAGTATTGATGGGGCAATTGCTGCATACACAATGCATTAGACCTCATGCATGTAATCCGTAGGATCATTTGGGTCCTATTTGGAGTTCATATGATCATTTGGGTCTATTCGTTCCGGCTGTGGCCAATAATTTTATCAACCGTATGTTGTTTTGAGTTTGCTCCTACACTATCGAGGTTGAGACTTTGATTGTTTAAACTTCATAATGAACCTCAAAAGTTACTGACCTTGTATATATTGTCTTTCTAGTTTAGAGGTACGTGATGAATCGAATTCATTGCACTTGTGATGGGAATTGATCGGATACTTGAAGAGTCCCAAACAATCCATTCCTGATGAAAACAATATTAAAAAAAATAGAAGATCTCCAAGTGAAAATAGCTGAAAATGTTCCTTTTATTATTTTCACCCTTTCCACGCGGACCACGCTAAGATCATAACATGGTTTTGACAAAAATGAAACTATATTTTTCGGTTAGAAAATATCTTTATATCTTTCAAACATAATAATTTAAGAATATAGGGAAAGTAAAAAAAAATTCTTATTTTCATAGACATATTTTGAGAAATCACATGTAGTCCATATAGAAAATTAAAACAATATTTGATGTTGAATCTGATCTTAGCTATTAGGCCTTAATGGAACTTATTATGAAAAACCCATCTTGCATATATCTCGAGCTCATCAAATACACTAAGGCTACGTTTAGTAGTCTGGATAAAATTTAGGATAGGATAAATTTTATCCTATCACATGTTTGGTGTCAGCCAAAGATAGGATAAAGTCGGATATAGGAAGGATATAGCCCGGATAAAATTATCCCATGGGGGAGGCGAGATAAAGGTGGATATGATTTCTAATATCTATAATATAAAAGTTAATTTTCTCGAATAACAAACTTGTTAAATTAATAAAATTAAAATAATATTTGAATAAAAATAATATTTGAATTTTAATGTAAAAATTCATAATAACAAAAAAACAACAATAATTTCATTTTTCTTTATTCTTATTTTTATTTATATATTCAAAATTTCTTTATATCTTGTGATATAAATTTCATATATATAAATCAATACTAATGTATTTATATTTATTACATATTTTAGGTATATTAGTAGAGTTTACTATTTAATAAAATTTTATTAGAGAATGATGGAAGGGAAAAAAGAAATAAAAAATAAAATAATTAAAAAAGAGAGGGAAAATTAATAAAAAAATAAGCAAATAAAAATGAAGTTGGTAAGAATGCCGTGAGAGAATTTTATCATCTCCGTTTGTGCAATTTTTAGGTTCATTTACACTGATATGATGTTCATAGCAAATAATGAATATGGTAAGACGTGAAAATATCCGACTTCATTTTCGCGATTCACCAAACAATAAATAGGATATAGCAAATCCCTTGGATTTCAAATCCTATCCTATCCTGTTTGGAAATCCAGAAGACCAAACACAGCCTAACTGATCACATGGGTCAAATAAAACACAAATCAAAGCCCGAGCGGATGGCCATAAAAAATCAGTTTGTACTAGGTGATATGGAGAATCGAAACCGACATGAATGATCCATTCGTTGACCTCTTTCTAAGACGTCCCCGCGGGGTTTACTTATGTACTGCTCCTGAAACTTAGAACTAGAGCTACGTTAGACAAATGATGTTCTCTAAATGATGGGCTTTTTTTCATAAACTTACGTTTAACATGCTTCACGCAACTCCATCAAAAGAGGATCTCCCTCCAACCATGACATTCTCTCTCTCTCCAATCTTTTTTGTGTCCCTGGAGAAAGGAAAAGGAGCATTACATGTACTGCTGCAACACGAGCGATGATGATGATGTTGATCATTAACCTCATGAGTCAGCGACACATGCAAAGGACACATTTTCTAGGACCACACACATACACACACACACTCCAAAAGGCACATGAAGATACATGTCACTGAGATCTAGTGAGTATTAATTGCTAGGTCTCACTGAAAGCTACCTTTTCTAGTCCCCCTCGAAAGGCCCAAATTGGAGACAGTGCCTGAGGCTTCTAGGATCGTTTGCAGTTAACATTTTCCTTGCAAGCCATCCAAAGAGATTTTACTGGTCCAAAAAAATTATTCACCAATTTGGGGGTGGTCAGCATGTCCACCCCTTCTTCAGCTTCAGGACACCACATGTGTTTGTGCTTTGTGCCAAAAAAAATGTAATAATTTTGTTTTTTCTCCTTTGCGTGTGTGTCAATTTGGCGGGGCCAATTTCGTTTTTCCGAGAGATGTAGGGCAACCCTTGTTGTTGAAGGCTATTTTGGTCCTATTTGTGTTCTCTCTTTGGCTTCAGAAATATCAGAAAGAAAAAAATTGAACAGATATGATCACTTGCAGCAATTCAAATAAATTCTCTTGTCAAGTCATGCAACCCAAGTGAAACAATTGATAGATGTGTAGCAATTTAACGTGTAACAAGCATGAGATTAATGAAATGGGCCAGGTAACATTATCGGGACAAAGCATAACGATGGTAGGTAAGGTCTTTGGGATCGCGTCAATCATCGCATGTTTTGGTGCCAACAACTTCAGGCCTACCAAGACGCGGCATTGCGGAAGGCCAATTAAATGACATTTAAATGGAAAATAAAGTGTTCAGATTCAACAAAAGTCTTTTGCAAGGAAAATCAGTGCTGGGTGGGGTTTTAGACACAAAAAACAGGTTGATGGGTGTTATCAGATCTGCTATATGAAATATATGTAGTAGTGCCAGTGCCCAAGTAAATGGAAAAGACAACACAAGAAGCTCCCACTTTTGCCAGGGTCTTGAGTGCATTGATTTCACCAATCCAGTACCCTTCATGAAATTCCCATTTATTATTTTTTTTTGGTCATACATGAAATTCCCATTTAAGTTGCCCCCAACAAAACCCCTTGAAAAAAAAGTATATATATAGAGGGCTAATTTGCAAAAAAAAAATATATTAATTTTATCTTGAGCGACAATTTTGATCCAAATTTTTTTTGACTCAATAAAAAGCACTAACTTTTACTCGAATCCAAAATCTAGTTCCTGTGATGTGCAATTATCAAATTATTCAAGCCAAATTTAAAATTTAAGTGAAAATTGATGATTTTAAAAAAAAAAAAATTTGGATCAAAATTATCAATCAAGATAAAATTGATCCTTCTTTTTGGAATTAGGTCTATATATATATATATATATACCACCTTTTTAATTTCGCAGATTACAGTCAAAATCACACTGAATGCGGGAGGCAGACTACTTTAAAGAGTCTTCCATAGGGCAAAAGGCAGAATGAGTGCTAATTTGAAACTTTTTTGTATCTCTCTCCTCTTCTCTTCTCTTTCCCCTCCTCAGAGATTTTGAAAAGTAGAGAGTTTCATTGGAAATTGAAGATTCCTCAGTTTCAGCCAATACTTTTTTCTCTTAAGCAACGCCCCCATCCACTTCAACAACCACTATCTCCACTTTCTTTTCTCTTTGGATTTATTCCCCAAAATTTTCACCACCTACCTAGTAGTGCTGCCTGTGCTAGCAAAAATTGCTATATACAAAAGGAAAAATGACCCTGCTCTCCCCTTCACTTCAGCAGGAATGAGGAGTATTTTGACAAGATTTCCCATTGATACTTGCAGGAATGAGGAGTATTTTGACAAGATTTCCCATTGATACTTGCAGATCCACTTTCCTAGCTTAAGCAAGAGGAGGAATCTTCCACTCTCCAAAAGAAAACAAGAAGCACCAACCCCCCAGCAAGAATGTAAAACATAGCCAAACGAAAGTGACCCCAGGACGGCAAAAATCTTTCTGCTCATTTCCCCAGTTTGAATCATTTCGAAATCTACCATAATTCATCTCTGGCCACCGAGAAAAAGCCAGGGGAAAGGAGCATTTAAAACGCACCGATAGGCCAGAATCCAATAAGTGAAATGGAGGGTAAAAACAGAGTAGTAAAAGCCTGAAGGGATTGACATTCATTTAAAGCCTTCACTGATTGGTTTTTCACGCACTGATCTCTATTTTTTTCTGGCCACGGTTTCGCTCACCGATTGAAGGAGCGAAAACAGACCCCTGCACCGGTTTCTTTCTCTGTCTCTTTTTCTCCCTGGCTCAAGGCCGGTACAAAATTTGCAATTATGATGCAAGAGTAGTTGCAGAACACACAGTTCGATATACAGGCATAATAAGAGAGGAACGAGATTCTCCAACCCCACCACCACCCAATAATGGGTAAACCCCACCCACATTCAATTCACCCCATCAGCAAAGCCAATCACCAGTGATTCTTCCACATGAGGTCCCAGAAAAAGCCAAAAAAAAGCCACAAAAAAAAAGTAACAAACCATGCCTATCGTTGCATCTCCAACAAGAACAGCAGGAATCATGTAATAATGTAGATCATTCACTTATCTCAAAGGAATACATGAAGAGGCCAAAACACCAACTGTTGAAGAGCAGAAGATGATGGAACAAAAGACAAGAGAACATGAAAGAAGGGAGGAGGGGGGGAAATACGGGTCATATTTATTCCAAAGGAGCTTCTTTTAGGGTTCCATCAGTACAAGTATGGACAAACAAAGAGAGAAAAAAAAGGGGAAAAAGAGAGATACATTACAAGAGAGAAGAAGAAAAGAGAAATCAAGGAAGAGCAAATTTTGGAGACTTCTGTACCATCAGAGAGAGAGAAGCTAGACCTAGTTGACTAAAAAGTTTTACCCTGAAGCTGACACCTGACAAGCTTCCCACATCCCCTTCCCCTGTCACATGGATGATCTGTTAGCCAAAGGACTTTGGATTTGTTTTTTCTTTTGTTATGAGTCACACTCATAACCCCCTGTTATGTTACAGATCATTAGTCTACACAATCTTCGCGTCCTACTTCTTTGCTTTACAAAGTAAAAAAGAAGGGGGCGATGGAAAATGGAAATAACGCCACCGCATTCACCGACTAAACTTACTCCCCGCTACTTCTCAAGCCCTAGAGCTAAACAATGGCCTAGAATTCACAGGATGATTACTACTGAAGGGTCACAGCATCTCCTATGGATCCAACTTCTGCCACTCAAAGCGTCCTGGCAGCGGTTTGTCGCTCACCGGGTCAAAGTTGTATCTGCAGAACATGCAATGAAAGCAGCTTAAAAATGCAACTAAACACGGGAGAATAATGGTAATATCAGAAATACCAAATAAGCAACTGAAGAGATAAACGTAATCTATACTTCTCAATAAAATTTCTCTGCTGCTCTTCTTCTGCACCAGCAAAGAACTCGTTCATTTCATGTGTCGTCGGGATATGTCTGCCGTCAACATTATGTATTCTTCGGTTAGTCTCAGTTAAGGTGGTGGGCCTGGTAGTAGAACTAGGCGTTCTCACAACTTCGGGGTCTCTGATCAAACTACAGGGTGTCGATTCCCTAGTACTCCTGCAAAAAAGATCACTAAGTTCAAATCTAATCTCAGGTCATGTATCCGACTTGATGATAACTCAAAACAGAATTCGACAGTGATAAACATTTACAGAGATCAGCACATGGTAAAAATGACCCACACGAGCACTATCCAGAATTGTTCTTACTCGCTGTCAATCTCCCCTCTCTGCTTTTTTAAGCATAATTTCATTTTCTTTATATAGGTTTCATGTACCTATAGCAAAAAAAATAATTAATGTACTGTTCCACCACTCTTCTCTGATGCCTCAATCACGCAGAGGACAGTGGCAGGCATATATATGAATATTGCAGGACCCTACCAATCATGCATTCAATAATAGCCACAACACAAAGTGGGGATGTATTTTCAATACATTCCATTCCAGAAGACAGAGATCTACTTTCACCAATGAATCCACATATGAAAACAGGAAAGGTCGAGCAGTTAAAAAATCAAGAGGTGAACCCCCAATTGTTCGTTGCCAGTATATCGAACAAATGGGCAAAAAAATTATATCAATATTCAACTTAACAGTCTCTAAGATTCAAGAATAGAACTCATTCAAGTTCAAAAAAAAAAAATTCATATTAGTGCCAATAGCTAGTCACTTATTCCAAAGAAGCCAATGCACGGTCATTAAAAAGGTTCTCCTGCACCGTTGTACTCATAACCAGGTATAACATGTGTTTCTATATCAACTTCACTGTCCATGAAGAAGTACAAAGTCAGTTTACTCGATCAGAGTGCTTGTAGTAGAAACAAATGCACTAATTCACAAAAAGGCCTATGCAATTACAAACTCTATAACACAAGAATTAAGCTGACCTTTAACAAATGATATATATTGTGATAATACGCATTAACTAATAAACATGACTTCCCATGTTAAAGAAGCCTGACATCAACTAAAGGACTCATGAATACTTGCAGAAGGAGAACGCTCGTGGCGATACAACGGCTTTGTCCATGTATCACGTAATATCAAAACGATAAAAAGCGCACAGATAAAGACTATATGAGTGAGTGCCCCTGGGAAACCTTTCCGGAAAAGTTACAAAGTACAAACCAGGAAAAAACTTTACAGCTAAAGTATAATTTTCAAAAAAAACATCAAAGAAGTCCACTTAAAACAATCTATACTTCTCTTCCTTTTTCCCCCATAATTACAACACAGTAACACATTCGAAAACCTGACGATCAACAAGTTCATATCTTCTAATTATCCTTATCAATCTTCTTTCCAATCATTTTACATCCGTTTGTGGAACGGTAGTGCCATTTCCGAATATACGTTTTTCAGATAATTTAAAGTTCCAAAAAGGGAAGACTACCTACGACGAACCTTAAAATAAGTATGACGAATAATTAATAATATACTCAGGGTATGTAAAATTGGAAAAGAAAGTTCCCCAATCTTTAAATCCTTTTCTATCTCTCCCTCAGCAAGCTGAGAAGACAAACTGGGAAAAACCTTCACCAATCACCTCTACGCACATAAAACTTGTTTGGTGCAAGAAAAAAATTATTCTCTAACTTGATACCATCCTCCTCTTGTTTGTGGGTCTTGTGTTTCACAAATTAATTGATGATCTTCCCTCTGGGCATCATCTCCGTCTTCGCAGCAAAAACTTCTATGCCCTATCATATGGTCTGAAAACTTACAACTTTCCCTTTATTCTGTGCCCTTTTTTTTTTTTTTGGCTTATCAGACAGAGGAGGATGGCATCAAGATACTGACCCACAATAGAAAAAACATACCTTCATCTCACCTAGAATTTTATAATTCAAAACTATTGAGCACACACATATATCTAAGGATTTAATCAAATTGTAGAATTTAAGATCCCCCAACAAGGCGACTCCAAAAGTTCCACCAAATTCACGAAGAAAAGGGGGGGAATAGAGAAAGAATTGAAAAAGAAAAACTGGAATTTGAAGAAAGCACCAAAAGAAGGCCCTTAGCAGTTACAAATCTTTCCCTGCATCTAAATTAATTATCAATCATACGAATTGTGCAAAAAAGTTTAGTACTCCCTTTTGCCCTAAACTTTGTCAGTAACCAAAACAGAGACTGAAAAAAAAAAATCTTCCTTTCTGATCAATCAAACCGCCCTTCCTATCCCTTTTCCCCATCAACCAAAGAGAGAATCGTATAATCCAGACCAAAAACAAAGATTTGCGATGCGAAAGAAAAATGAAAAGAAAAAGTTGCAGAACCAAAATTGAGAGAGCAAACACCTTTCTCTGCCTTCAAACTCCAAAACGTTGTCGCCGAAAGAAGCCTCTCCAACCCCCAAATCGGCATTACTGCTGCACTCGTTATCGTTCTCCGCCGCGTTCTCCTCCCTGGGAATCCCATCCTTGCCCTCCTCCCCGCCGCCACCGCTCGCCTTCCTGTTGCCGCCGCCCTCGGTGTCGCTCAAGAAAGACCCGACCGACTCCATCGAGCCGATCCTCAGCCTCGACCGCGCCCTAGGGTTAGGGCTCGACCCGGGGCTAGGGCCCTTGGCCGAGCCGCCGACCTTCCTCTGCCGCCTCGCGTAGTGGCTCCGGACGAGGATCGGCGGCTTCGGGAGCCGCCGGCTCCGGAGCTGGAGGTAGGAACCGGAGCCGGAGCTGGCCGCCGCCGCCGGCGCCTGCGCCGCGGGCTGAGGAGGAGCGGCGGCGGCGGCGGCGGCGGAGACCGGGGGAGATTTCTGGAGTCGCTGGGAGGCTAGGGTTTTGGCGCGGGTGCGGACGCCGAGGGACGACTGGGTGGCCTCCATGACGGCGAGCTCGCCGGCCGCCTTCGCCTTGCGAATGTACTTGCCCATCTCCCCCTCTCCCTCTCCCTCTCTCTCCTCTCTCCTCTCCTCTCCGCTCCGCCGGCAGCCAAAGCAAAAGCAAAAAGGCCGCTCAGCACGAATCGCTCATGTGAGACACAGAGAGAGAGATACGAAGAAGGAAGAGGAGGAGCCGAGGAGGAGGAGGAGTTTGGTTTGATTTGCAGTTGAAAGGTTTCAGAGATAGATAGAGAGAGAGAGAGAGAGAGAAAGAGGAAGAGATGTTGAAATGGTGAGAGAGAGAGAGAGAGAGGGAGGGAGGGACTGTTAAAAAGTTAGGGTTGGGGACTTCAATTTCTCGCGAGATTCTTCCCCCCGTCCCCCGAATATTCCGAAATTCCTTTCGGCCCCCTCCCCCCCTCCACCTCTTGTTCTTCTATAAGAATTACTTATAAATGTTAAATCGAGAGTCATTTGGGAATGTACATATAAAATTAGGCGTTGGGTATATGTGTGTTCGATTCCATCCTCTGATCAATCTGTCTCTAAACATATTCTGACCCCGTATGTTGAGATACACGGCCGCGTGTAATTGCCCGGTATGGAGATATCGGTTCATGCCGCGCGTTACCTGGTTATCGAAAGAGACGACTCGGCGTCGCGACTGATAAGAAAATGTGCCGGGTGTTTTCTGGGTGGTAATGATCCATTTTCTCGGACTCGAGCCGTTTTAGTTGATGAACGCGTGAGAAATGGCGGATCTCGTAACGCTCGCCCCGGCGTGTATTTATTATTGGGGGGAGGGGTGTCGGTATGTGATCGCGAATGTCCAGAGATCACGAGGAGAAAAAGGTTATTGGTTTCGAAAGGGGTCGGCGGCTAAAATAGTAACGGGGTAAACTCCGCGGTCGATCATGGATGTATTGGAACATTTTCATTCTTGCCGATAAAGCTGTACAGGCTAGAGCATAGACACGTTGTGTACCCATAAAAGGGCGTGACTATGTATACTAACGGCGCAAAGTTTAATGAGATTTCGTTACGACTTCCTAAAAGGAAAGGGGGGTCGATCTTCGGAAAAACAGTTTAATTTGGAATGGAGCAGCTTGTATAGGGTTTTGTTCTTAGACTTCAAAGCTCCATATGATTCTTCTTATTGTTGAGAGAAAATATTTAGGGTTTTAATTTATCAATAAATTTGGTTATTTTGAAGCACGTCGAGCTCTATGAATTTTTAATGTTGACGGTTCGAAATTGAGCAAATCACATTGTGACGGCAAGTATATTATGGACCAATCTATCTTGTTATTATCTCCCTAGTATTTTGGTTAGGTATCTAATTAGTAAGTATGCTTTTATATTTCGAACTAGTATGATAGGAAAAATTATAATATTTAAGTTTATAATACGTACCTTTTCTTATTGAATAGGAGATATTTGATAGGACTAGATTAGCCAAATTGAAAGTTTAGGACCGAATTTTTCTTTTGGCTGGATTTTAGGACCAAATTAGCCAACATACAATAGATATAGGAATTTTTGGACAATTTTTCCCGGGACTATGATTTTCGAAGAATACAAGCCAGATTCATGTGAACCTAGTGCATTCCAACCTCTAAATCCTGTGGGTCTCATATGGGAGACAATACTTTCAATGATCGAGATATATTAGACTCATATGAATATGGATCATCCAGGAAGTTTTCCTCTCGAGCACCCTGTCGAACGTCTTATGCGAATGAAACTTCGTCTTTACTACCGTACTTTGAGGAAGATGTTCACTTTACGAAAACTTTTCCCATTTTATTAAGGGATAACGACACAAATAGTCTCTGAACTTTGACTTAATGTGCAATTTGATCCCTGAACTTTTAATTTGTTCAATGTAGTCCCTGAACTTTAACCTAATGTTCAATTTGGTCCCTGAACTTTGATTTGTTCAATGTTGTCCCTGAACTTTTAATATGTGTTCAATTTAGTCCATGAACTATATGAAAATATTCAATATAGTCCCTGTACTTAGATTAATGGAAGGACTATATTGAACATTTTCAAATAGTTCAAGGACTAAATTGAACACATATTAAAAGTTCAGGGACCACGTTGAACAAATCAAAGTTCAGGGACCAAATTGAACATTAGGTTAAAGTACAGAGACTACATTGAACAAATTAAAAGTTCAGGGACCAAATTCCACATTGGATCAAAGTTCAGGGACTATTTATGTCATTTTCCCTTTTATTAATAAAATTGTTCGCGACAGATATACGACAAAACTCGGGACCCATAAAAATACTCGGCAAATCTCATGAATCTAAATGAGGCGCAAACATGAACGATGGCGCACTTACACGTGTTTCCCTTTCTTTCGCGCCTTAATCCCCCACCTCTTCCTCAGATTTTTCCATCAAATTTACAGGATTTGCATTTTAAGTCATAAAAAAAAAGGCCGGATAAGAGAGAAAAAGAAAGAGAAACGAAATTAATTTAGCATCGGAAGAATCAGATGAGCATACCTTATATTTTTCATCAGCAGTACCTCTTGGTTGCGCTCTCATGCTATTGAAATTTCATTATCTAAATAAATAGAAAATTATTAAGTTCTAAACTATCTCGATCCGATGTGATCAAACCATTTCGGCAGCCACCCATTTAATTTTGCCGGCATGGCAAGTCCGGCCGGCGTTCCTCGACAGCTCTCGGCACACACGTGTGGCGCTGAAGTGGCGTGGGCCCACCAAGGTCGAGGACATAATTTCCTCTCGAACAAATGAAAAGTTATTGCGTGTGCATATATTTCGGAAGGGAAAAGTGTTAGAAAAGTCATAAATCTTTTGCATTGATATCAATTCAGTCCTAAACTCTTTTTGTGCCAACTCAGTCCTAAACCTTTTGTCTTTGTATTAATTGAGTCCTTCCGGCTAATTTTGGGCGGATATAGCTGACGTGGACGCCGGCCGGCCTACGTAGCACCGTCATCGATGACGTGGATAACTTTTAATAATATTTTAATATTTTTTTAAAAAAAATTTCTTTCCCTTTCTTCTTCCTTCAGCTGGTCGCTGGCCTCTAGCGAGCTCCTGCGGCCATTGGCGAGGCTCACCCTCGCCAGATCCGGTGAGGTCGTGCCTCGCCCAGCCCAACGCGAGGTCGAAAAATAAAGAAAAGAATAAAAAATTTGAAAAATGTTATTAAAAATTATCTACGTCATCGCCAGAGGTGTCATGTAAGCCGGCCGGCATCCACGTCAGCTATATCCGGCTAAAATTAGCCGGAAGGATTGAATTGACATAAAGATGAAAGGCTTAGAACTGAATTGGAATAAAAAAAAATTTAGAACTAAATCGGCACAAATATAAAAGGTTTATGACTTTTCTGACACTTTTCATGTTTCGGAAATTAAAAAAAATCCTCGTGCGCATCTGGAAGCAAAAATTAAAAGTAATTTCAAAAAAAGATTTGTTAATATTTGTCCGCGCCGAATTCCTTTTTATTTTTATTTTGCTTGCTTGCTTGCTTGCTTCCTTCCTCAATATATGTGGAAAAAGAACGAATTGCTGACGCCACGTTTATTTCACCTTCTCCCCAATTTATCGCGACACGAGAAGATGGGAAGGACGAGAAAACTCGAGCGAACTGGCGACGGCTTAAGACATTGGATTCCTTTTCTAGTGGCCAGGTGGAAAGTGCTTTTTTTTATTTTTTCGATTTTTACTTTTATTATTCTAGAAATTACAATATTCCGAATTTTCTTTTATTTTTATTTTTCTCCATAGATAAGATTTTTCTTTTCCGAATATTGCCCCCCCACCCCACGCGCTCGGCGCGGGGTTGCGAACCACGCGCTCCCGGCGCTGGCCGATGAAGAGCATCTTGTGCCAATTTGTCAGGTACATGTAAGAAAAAAAAAAAGAGAGAAAAATAGAAAATAGAGAAATTATCCCATTGGCTGACAGATTTCCCCACTACGAATTTTTTTCTTTCCTTTTCTCTTATTAATGTTCTTTTACATTAATTAATTAATAATCTGATATGAATATAATACGATTTAATTTCTCTTCGCGTTACTGCTATAAAAAGGAAAAAAAAACACTGATGCAGGAGAGAGCGTGTGGCCAAATTCCAAAAGGGCCTTTTGTCTCTGCTGCTGCTTGGTCTGCGTACCCCACCTTTAAACGAAATTTTAAAAAATGAAAAGGAAAATGGCATTTATAAAAAAGAAAAAAAATAGCAGTGCTGATTTACTAAATTATCTTAATCACCTTCAATCTAAAATATATCGAAATGTTATTGATTTTTCTGAGGCGGATACTAAGCGAAGTTTGATGGACAAATCGCCATCAATTTCTTCAGCTAATAAGTTTTGGGTGCCCTCACTAATATACTTGATGAGAAAATGTTTGATTTTTAAAGCATCGATTATGCGTTTAAAAAGGTTAGATTTAGTTATTAGATTGCTCGACGAGTATCCCTCGAGAGGATATTTTGTAACAAGATCCATAAAATGATACCGGCATTGTTCAATCAGTCTGCGGCGGTAAGTATATCGATTGATATTGGCGTTTTATAATGTCTTTTTGGAGAAGTCTACGGTATTACATTATGGTGATGCAAAGTTGCTAAGAAGGCAGTGGGCAATCTAGAGACTTTCAATTAATGTTCTTTAAATGGGAATACTTTCTGGTGCCTAAAAAAATGATATAGCCTTTGGTTTGAAATTTAGCAAAGCTAATTGAAGTTTGGGAGGAGCTAAATTCCATCTGATGATGGATTGGAAAGCTGGAATAATTGTCACAGCAATGGCAGTTTGTTTCTGACCATACCCATCAGCAAAATCAATTTTCTTTCTTCTCTTGGACCATATGTACAGATATATAGTGCCATGAAATAACAATAGAATAATAATTAAATGCAAAAGATACAATGATTTGACAAGCTTCAACTTCTCTGGTCATTCAATACAATAGTGTCAATTTCTTGGTACCCAACCATATCTTTTCATTCCAATGCCAATTGCTTCATAATGTCATATTGTACCTCCCTCCCTTCCATGGAAAAGGAAAGGTCAGAATCATAGTATTCTGTTCAATATCATAGCAACTGTCTTTTCCTTTCTTCTTTTAAATTTAATCACTTCAAGAGCAGAAACCATATCTTTTCAAAATTGAACCCCAATTCATCAGATTTCTTTATAGAATATACTAAGGGTGCGCATGAATACCATTCTGTGCCCGGACGCTATTTCTGAATAGAAATGATTTTTTTTTATTCTGTGCCCGGAAATAATTTCTGAGTATTTGAAGGCGTTTGATAAATGTCCAAAATTTCTATTCCTAGAGTAGAAAAGAACAGAAATGCGTTTGGTAACTACACAAAATTTCTGTTCCCAAATAATATTTTAATAATATTTTGAATTGTTTAAATTTTTTTTTTCTTTTTACTTTCTTCTTTGGCCATGGCCGGTCGCAAACAGCCGGCCGCCGGCCAGCCCTGGCCGGCGAGGGCGTCACGGACCTCGCCGGCCGCCGCAGAGGCGAGGTCGCCCTCGCCGGCGAGGGCGAGGCGGACCCTCGCCAAGCAGGCGGCGGCCTCGCCCGGAGACGGCGAGGCTCGGCCTCGCCCGGCTTTGGCGAGGCCGAGCCTCGCCGTCGCGACCCACGGCGAGGTCTGCGGCGAGGCCGAGCCTCGCCATCTGCAGGCGAGGCCGACCTCGCCGTCGCGACCGACGGCGAGGCTCGGCCTCGCTCGATCTGGGCGAGGCCGCCTCGCCCGGGCGGCGAGGGTCCGGCCTTCGCCCTCGCCGGCGAGGCGACCCTCGCCTCCGCCGGCGAGGGCCGTGACGCCCTCGCCGGCCCTGGGCTGTGGCCGATCGCCGGTCGCCGGCGGTCGGCTCAGCCAAGAACAACACCACAAAATAAGAAAAGAAAAAAAAGAAAAAGAAGAAAAAAAACTGATTCTCAAAATTGTGCCGAGAAACAAGAAGCAACTTTTTTTTACTTCTTGTTTCTCTTCCAAAACTGTTTCTCGGCACAAATTTTTGCAAAAATGTGCCGAGGAACAAAAAGTTTACCAAACGCATTTCTGTTCCCAAACTATTTCTGGGAACAAAAGAACAGAAATTTTCACTATTTGGCACGTTACCAAACGGGCCCTAAATAGTCTTCAAGCTTTGGTGGCTCTTTTATTCCAATTCATCAGATTTCTCTCTTTATCTTCATCATTAGGCCCTTTCACCTAGCCGACCCCTCAGCACTCAGCAGCATCTCTTTCTTGCTGTCTGAGTCCTGTTAATGCCACTGAATGTACATGATTTCTAGGACGTAAATGCGGTAATTTTTTGGGCTTTTCCCATATATTTCCACTCATCTGAAATCCGCTCTCAGGTCTCAAAGCCGCTGGTTCAGCTCGACAGCAATGATGATTTGACTTTTGTTACACATGAACAGACTTCTAACCCATCATTACTCAAGATTTATACTTCTGCACACCCCCCCTTACTTAATTGCATCGACTTTTTGGCCTCCCTCTTCCATTGTCACCACGGTTGTTGCATTATTTTAATCAACGCATTTAGTGGTATTTCTTTTTTTGGTCAGACATTTAGTGGTATTTCATTTGTTGCGAGTGGCCGGTCAGCACTCATTAGGCATGTATTGCAGTTTTTAACATCCTATGCACTATCAATATTATGAAAATTTAAGCATACTCAAAGATGACAATTTTCTAAGTTCTAACTTATGAAATTGTTTAAGTGATGAGCATAGTTGTCTCCCTCTCACTCGAGCTGAGTCACTGCGTTGATACACTCTCTTGAGATCAAACCATAGATATACGAGAAGGAGTGTAACTTTTGGGACATTGTAAGTATTCTGACTTTTGTAAGGCACTCACTTACACAAGAATTCATAAAATAGAAAGATTAAAAAACAACCATATTTAAGTCATTGGTATCTAGGTACGTGAATATCAGTATTTGTGTGTATATAATATACCAATCAAATGATTGTGTTTTTGGGGCGACAAAGCATTGGGGCAAAGCACAAGTTTAGTTCTCCAAGTTGTATCCTCTCCTCTGTATAATTTAGTTGTTCGATTTTTCAGTTTGCATAGTTAATTCATTCTATCAATCACTATTACAAACAAAGTCAAATTGTTGACGTGACATAAAATGTACATGTGGTACTAATGTGGCACCAAATAAATGCACCATGAACAAACATGATACAAAGAAAACCTAGAAAGAGATAGAGAGGGGTGCGTCACGGCCTCTTGTGACTACGGGCGCTCCCCCGGCAAGAGCCAAGCCAACCTTGCTAGTGGTTGCAAGGGGTTGTGACGCTCCCTATCACCAGTATCCTCTCTCTTTCTCTCTCTCTCCCTTGTGTCTTGGATTTTTTTTTCACTTTGGTTGTATCTAGGATCAAGAAACTCTTGAGTGCAAGCATTTGGACAATTCTAGGATCAAGAGCCAAGCCAGCCTTGCTAGTGGTTGCAAGGGGTTGTGAAGCTTCCTATCACCGGTATCCTCTCTCCTCTCTCTCTCTCTCTCTCTCTCTCTCTCTCTCTCTCTCTCTCTCTCTCTCTCTCTCTCTCATATCTTGGATTTTTTTTTACTTTGGGTGTATCTAGGATCAAGAAACACTTGAGTGCAAGCATTTGGACAAATTCTAATGGAGATGTAATTTAATTTTGTTTTCGAATGCTTATATAGTTTTTCACAACGAGGAGAGAACTCATCTAGGTATAACTTAACCTTACAAACAATAAATGTCTCACGAACCACATGAACCAAGGAGGGTAGAAGCGAATAGTTAGGCAGATGACTTACAAAGGGATTATTTGTGGCTATTGATATGAGGAACATACAACTTGTCTCGTGCACCTAATCCACATACATAATCGTTTCTAACCATTAAAGTAATCTCGCGGGTTTAAAAATTGATTGAAATTGGGAGATCTAGTGATCCTTAAGGTTCATGGCCCGCTTAAAATAATTTACACAACATGTACTTGATGCATCATATGCACCATTCAGAATAAAAATTCAAGTTCAAGATAACACAGGCCATGCGCATCTGCAAATTTGGTCTCCACCGTATCGTGCACCAGACAGAATTTCAGAGAGATATCGATACAACAATATTAACACCTAATTTATGGAGCAGAAAAAGATAGCATCAGCACCTAATTTGATAATAAATATTCTGTTTAATACGACAAACCAAGATGCGAAAAGTAGGAATAAGATGAAGATTAAAAGTGCCAACCGCTTGATGCATAACCCCCCCTTTTTTTTCTATATCGACATGGATGTGAGCTTTTTCTAGGAAAGGAAAGACACGAGAGAGAGAGAGAGAGAGAGCCATGCAACTTCGATTTCGTTTTCTGCTTTGTCAGAGAATTTGCAGTGAAAGAAAGCCTCAGAGAGTCCTGTAAACATCAAAAGCCTCTCCCATGCAAAGCAAATATTCTGAACATTCTCTACTTTTGAACTCTCGTCTTCTCTTTACTTTTCCCCGCCGAGATCCCCCCCTTCCAAAGAAGGGTCGGGAGTCGTACGTGGGGTGCTTCGTTTTGCAATTGTAGACATGTTCTTTTTTACCACTGTTTAATGTTTGATTTAAATCTTTCAGCTGTTAATTTAGTGAAAGCATGACAGCAGAACTGAGGACAAAGAAGGGCAGAGTCAACCTGAGGTCACCCAACATTCCATTTTCCTTTGCCTCCCACCCCTCATCTTCGAATATGCAGTGGAAATTTCATATCGGTACGAGTATCGACGTTATCGAAGGTAGTTGTTAGATCGTGCCTTCATCAAAGTGCGTAAACTTTTAGAAGAGTTAATATCTTACGGTATGAAAAGGACTCGTTCTCTTCCTTTTTTTCTCCTCCTCCTTCCTATTCTTTCCTCTGCAACTTGAGAGCTTCGTGGTGCACCTCCGCTACCACCTCCGTTACCGCAATCGTCATCTCCGCAGTCGACCTACTTCATGCTACTACGAATTTTTCGCTCCCTCTTCCTCTCTCGTTTGGGAAGAAACTTGAAATCCTTTGTGCTCCAAGACATAACATAAAATGGTAAAGTTTCACAACTCCTTTTACCCAAGAAAACAATAAACAATATAAGTTCCATTTATTTTGTGAAAAATAATAATTTAAAAAAAAACTTTACTAAAAATGATCGCTTGCATCGCTTATAAAAATGAATCAACGAAAAATATATTTATCATTTACAAAATATTTAGACATTCATTACTGTTGATAACGAAAAAACTTTTCATTGACCATAGGAAAATATTTTCCAAATCATTCATTTTGCAAAATAATCCGCAAAACATGCAGAGCCATAATCTCAACCGCAGAATTAGTCCAACAATCAGACATACACACATTTCACTTGACCTCGAGAAAGAAAAGTCCACAGGATGCTTTGGTCGATATATGTACATCCAAGAACAAACAAAACTGAAAAGAGCGTACAAAGGAACTCCATTAATGTCATCAGGACAACAAAATAGGCAATTCTGAGACGTTTTGAGGAGACAAAAACAATTTCTTGTAAATTAGCCAAGTCACGCACCTTTTTATCCGACAACTTCAATAGACGAGAAATTATGATTCCAACGATGATAAATCGAGATGTTGTACATTCCCAAGGGACAATCATAGTGTTACAGATATGGGGTGGCCCAGAATTACGACAAAGCCGAGCGAGATCCTGCTTCAACCTTATTAAATGGATAAATTATGTTGGTGAGGAAGTATGGGTGACACCCACCAGTGGTTTTTGGCTCCTTTGTGACCCTCCTCAGCTCTTGAAACACGCTCAAATTGAAGGCCTCTAAGAAGCAAGAAAAGCAGGGGTGAACTTTCACTTCCAAATCTTAACCGACTTGTCATGACTGGTTGAGGCAATCATCCCCGTCAACGGCGACTGGGCCAACGCCGAAATAACACACTCGTGAGCTGCGACCGTCAGACACTTGTTCTCTACCATGTTCCACAATTCCAACGACTGCAAGGGATAAAGCGTGCATCAAACAATTCCGAACTAAGGCTGAGTAACTAAAAAGTAAGGATTGATAACAGTTAAAATTCCCACAAATCATTCAGTCTAAAGATATCCATGTGATGTGCAACATCCACGACAAAAAGTTGTAATTCGTATCCAAAGCCCCTTCAAACACAATTCATATTCTTACTTAAAGGATTTGGCCCAAAAAAGAATATAAAAATAGACTATTGTTGCAAAAAGATCTGAAGAACACTACTAAGGAGTCATTTATCCAACCAATTAAATCGGTTTGCACAGGATAAGAAATGCACCCTGAATGTGATGGAAACGCTCTACAAGCGAATTGCATTCTAACAGTGAAATAAAAGCAATAATGTGCAGCGCATTTACCAACAGCAGCAATCCAATTATCACCCGGTTTTGACCAAAAAAAAATAAAATTTATCACCTGGTAACAGCCAATAACCAGAAGATTGGAATAGGTTGGATGGAACACGCATGAGTGAAACTTGTTTCCACTGGAATTGAGTTCGTGAACACATTCACCCGAGGACACTCGCCACACTCGAACAGAATCCGGGCAGACAGATGCCAAATAATCTCCATTGGCATCCCAACTTAGAGAATGTAACTCTGATTGGTGCCCCTGGAAAAGTAAGAGTTTTCCCACTACAATTAGCAATTCTGGTTAGAATGTCCGCCACACTCTTGGAACTTAAATATAAAATTTCCTTTTAGACAAATTCAGAGCTATCTTTCACTCTAGTGAAATATATATTGGTACCTTCAACATGTGATACAGTCTGTCCGTCTCAAAATCAAAGATGGAGACCACAGTATTTGCTGCTGCCGCAAGCAGATGCCCTGTCCTGGGTTGAAATCTTACCTGTGCAATACCTCCCTGCACATCCAACAATGAAGTACCTCAGAACAGCCGCAGTCAGGTCTGAGAATAAAAAATCGGTCAAGATTTGTTTGTAACCTTGGAGACACGGGTGCATGAATATTGACTGATACTCCATAAGCGAATCTCACTGTTACTGTCGCAAGAGCAGAAAAGATCATTCTTCTTAGGGTGGAAGTCGAGGGACAACACTTGGGAGGTGTGTCCAGTATAAGACCGTACGCAAAAGTTTGGCTGCAACACCCAAAGATCATAAGCACAATTCGTTTTTGACCTATTTAGGGTGAAAGATGTTAGACAAGTAATGAAACGAGATAGAGACTATACTTGCGCTGCATCCCAAACCCGAATGGTGGTATCAAATGAAGACGTTGCCAATAGTGTTGTGTTTGGTCTGAAACGCACATCAGTGATTATGTGAGTATGTTCTTCTGGAGTGCTCTCAGTTTGAAATGTTTCCACATTCCAAAGGATGACCTATTGATGTCACACAGATAAGTATCTAACATCATCATATTTTTAACAATCAACACAACCATCTGACATTATGAACTAACAACGTTTTCAGTACTTTGCACAACCCTCTTAACACTACTGCAGATCTCAAATGCAGAAATTTTCACGCAGCACCAAGCTCCGCACACCAAGAGCTTGAAGGAAGCACAATGTACAAACATTTAAATAACAATTGTGATCCAGTTCCATTCGTTGCTGTCAAAAAATTAGGAGAAGATCTCGGGATAGGGAATTATTTTGTTTCCATGCATTTTATTTCCTTTTACTTCTAAATCCTCAGAATTAGGAAGTAGATCATTAGAATTAAGAAGTGGGAAATATGTTCCTATTTCTGCTTCAATTTTCTTGCTTTCTTTTGGCTGTCCTAAGCCCTATTTATATGTAATGTTCTCTGTAAGTATTATATAGAAAATAAGAAACAAGAAAAAAACATTTTTTTCTTCTTAGAAATCCGCATAGTATTAAAGTAGGAGATACTGAGTTCAAATTTTCTAGACCCCTATTTACCTCCCCAACTACATAATTCCACGCTTAAGGCTCAAGCCAAAGTCCAACCTACGTGGGAGGGGGAGTGTTATAATATTTTAATAATAAATTATGCTTTCATTTTGCAGCTTAAACTTTTAGAACAATCAGTAGTGGTCCCAAAAAATCTCGCATGGTGTCATACCAGAGGATTTGAATCCAGCTCCTACTATGGTGATAACGGCAATGACCGAAGCTAGTAGGGACACCACTCCTTTAGGTGTCATTCTAGAGAACAACCCAACTGATCTCTCTACACAATTGAGCAGTGGTGGAGAGCAATTCTCCCAAAACTCCAACCTGCTATTAACAATTCACCGATTGAATGGCCAAAATTATTTGGAGTGGGCTCAATCGGTGAAACTAGCAATTGATGGCAAAGGGAAGCTTGGCCACTTGACAGGCGAAGTGAAGGAACCAACAAAAAGCAATCCGTATTGGAAGACTTGGATTTTTTAGAACTCCTTAGTGATTGCTTGGCTGATCAATTCTATGGAGCCAACAATTGGGAAACCGCAACTATTCCTTCTAACCGCTAAAGATGTGTGGGACATTGTGAGAGAAACATGTTATGATTTGGAAAATTCTTCCCAGCTCTTTGAACTGAAGATAAAGCTATAACAATCAAGGAAAGAAGATCGTGAGGTCACTATTTACTACAATGAAATGGTGACCTTGTGGCAGGAATTAGATCAATGCTAAGATAATACATGGGAAAGTCCGGCTGATTGTGAGACTAATGAAGAGAGAAGAGCATGATAGAGTATACATGTTTCTAGCAGGCCTTGGATGATGTGAGGCAGAATCCTTGGTCAAAAACCTCCACCATCCATCCGCGAGGTTTTCTCTGAAGTTAGGAGGGAGGAATCTTGGAGACGAATCATGCTACGTGATTCGGGAAAAAGTGTCAGCTCTATATCCGAAAATTCTGCATTTGTATCTCAGAGGTTTGATTCTGAGGAAGATAGGAGGAAAAAACCACGGTGTGAACATTGCAAGAAACCATGGCATACAAAGGAGACTTGTTGGAAAATTCATGGGAAACCATAGAATTGGAAGAAAGAAGGTGGGAAGAGAACAAGCAGTAGTGATGGCTGCGCGTTCCAAGCAACAAATGAGGAAGAGCAAATCAAGTCCAATTCGGTTCCATTCACGAAGGAACAGTTAGAGCACCTGTACAAACTCCTTCAACTTCCATAACCTTCTTTGAATCCATCTTGTTCTTTAGCCCGGAAAGGTAATTATCTTTCTACTACTTTCCCCATAGAAAATCCACACCAAATTACACCATGTATTCTCGATTTAGGATCAACCGATAATATAATAGGTTATTCAAAACTCTTTTCTACATATAGTCCGTGTGCAGGAAATAAAAAAATTGCTTCAGCTATAGCTAGAAAATGATCCATCAAGCTCTCACCTGTCCTCACTCTTGCTGTCCACTAGCAAAATAACCTCTGATCAAAAGTGTCAACCCAATTTTTTCTCATCTCATTGTGAGTTTTAGGACTTGACCTCAAGGAGGACGATTAGCAATGCTAGAGAGAGTAGAGGACTATTTTTTTGAAGATGGAACAAGCTCAAGTAGACAAGTTTAGGGTAGCCGTTTCGCATCTGTTACTGTTCATAAGAACGATGATATTATGTTATGGCATTATAGGCTAGGTCATCCGAATTTTCTATATTTAAAGTTCTTATTCCCAAAGTTGTTTTCGAATAAAAGTCCATTTTCATTTCAGTATGAATTCTGTGAATTAGCCAAACATCATCGAACCAATTTTCCCTCACAAACCTACAAGCAGTTGAAACCAATCTCCTTTATTCATAGTGATGTTTGGGACCCATCTAGAATTTCTACACCCTCGGGAAAGAAATGATTTGTTACCTTTATTGATGATTATACATGGGTGAGTTGCGTATATTTGTTAAAAGAGAAATCTGAAGTAGAGGCTATTTTCAAAAAATTTTACACCATGATACAAGCACAATTCCAAGCGAAATCCATATTTTTAGGAGTGAGAATGGGAAAGAATATTCCAATAAAATTTTGGGACAGTTTTTCTTGGAAAAGGGAATTGTGCATCAAAGTTCTTGCAACCCTCAACAAAATGGGTGGCAGAAAGGAAGAATAAACACCTTTTAGAAATAACTAGAGCTCTACTCTTCACAACTATAGTTCCCGCATAACTATGGGGTGAAGCTCTTCTTACATCCATATGATCCTAGAGAAAAACGATGTGTATGTTGGTTACGCACATAATCAAAAAAAGTATAAATGCTTTGACCCGATTTCCAAAAATATGTTTGTCACCATGGATGTCACCTTTTTTTGAGCTCGTCTTTAGGGGGAGAAAGAAAGCACAGAGTCGCACAACACAATCAGTCTTTTCGTCTTGCGGAACCTGAAAATCCTCTCCAAAAACTCTATTCCTGCAACCCTTCCTAATTTTAAAACAAGTTTTTAAATAATGAAAATATGGGTCCACCTATATTGGCATCTCATCCTACTTGTGAGAGCATAACAGAGGCGAAACTAGTACCAAGAATACAAAGCTTCCAACCTATTCTCAAGTCTACACGAGAAGAAACAAAACTCAAAGAAATGAGTCTCCTGCTCCTTTAAGGAGCCATGAATCCGAACCGGGCAATGACCAGAATTCCATACGGTCATCAACTAATTTTCCAACTCAATCTGTCCAACCCGATCTTAGTCAAAAAAATGGGTCTACTGATGAACTTGACATACCTATTGCTATCCGAAAAGGAGCTAGGTCTTGTACTCCTATGTCTCGTTATGTGTCTTACAAAAACCTCTCGTCCAATTTCCATGCCTTAACCTCAACCTTGTATTGAGTGGAGATTCCAAAAACTGTGCAGGATGCTCTGCAGGTTCCTGAGTGGAAGGAAGCGATTCTCGAGGAGATTAAAGCTCTGGAAAAAAATGGAATGTGGGATAAGGCGGATTTACCCAAAGGAAAGACCACGGTTTGATGCAAGTGGGTATTTACAGCCAATAGATCTGATAGATCCCTTGAAAGGTATAAAGTTCGGTTGGTTGCCAAAGGATTCACCCAAACCTATGGGATCGATTACTTTGAGACCTTCGCCCCCGTTGCAAAACTAAACAGTGTAAGACTGCTCCTATCACTTGCAGCCAACCTTGACTAGCCTCTGCAGCAACTAGATGCGAAGAATGCATTTCTGAATGGAGATATGGATGAAGAAGTCCACATGGATTTCCCCCAGACTTTGATCAAAGGGTTGGATCAAAGGTATGTAAATTTAAGTAATCACTAAATGGACTGAAACAGTCACCAAGAGCCTGGTTTGCAAAGTTCACTCAGTCTGTGAAGAAACAAGGGTATGTTCAAGGACAAGCTGATCATACCATGTTTGTAAATCTTTCTTGTGATGGGAAGGTTGTAATTTTGATAGTGTATGTGGACAACATCATGAGAATGATATTGCCGAGATGAACAGGTTGAAAGAATTGTCTTGTTTTGAGCTTGAGATCAAGGATACTCTAAGGTATTTCTTTAGAATGGAGGTAGCTCAGTCGAAAAGGGAATTGTAGTCTCACAAAGGAAATATGTCCTAGATCTTCTAAAGGAGACCGGAATGAGTGGTTGTAGACTGGCAAAAACTCCAATAGACCCTAGTAAAAAACTTGGAGATGACAAAGATGGGGTTCCTGTAGATACATTGAGATACCAGAAGCTAGTAGGGAAACTGATCTATCTATCACATACTCGGCCAGATATTGCCTCTGCTGTGAGTATGGTGAGCCAATCTATGCACTCTCCATATGAAAATTATCTTGAGGTTGTGCATAGGATCCTGAGATACCTAAAGAACACACCTGGAAAAGGTCTGCTATTCAAAAAGTCTACTCAGCAGGAGATTGAAGCATAAACAGATGCAAGCTGGGCAGGGTCAATTACTAGCAGAATCAGACCAAAAAAAAAAAAAATTACTAGCAGAAGGTCGACTTCAGGATATTGTACATATATATGGCAGAACTTAATTACTTAGCAAAGTAAGAAGCAGAATGTGGTGGCACAAAGCAGTGCAGAAGTGGAATACCGAGCAATGGCACATGGAATCTGAGAGATGTTGTGGCAAACACGAGTACTAGAAGAACTTCGAGTATTAGTGAAAATGCCTACGATGTTGTACTGTGCAACAAGGTTGCAATCAACATTGCACATAATTCAATGCAACATGATAGAACAAAGCATGTTGAGATCGACAAACACTTTATCAAAGAGAAGATTGCTGTAGGAGCTATTTGTATGCCATTTGTGTCAACAACAAAACAAATAGCTGACATTCTTACAAAGGGACTGTTCAGACCTAACTTCGAGTCTCCTTTATCAGCAAGTTGGGCATGATTGATATTTACGCACCAACTTGAAGGGGGGGGTTTGAAGAATTAGGAGAAGATCTCGGGATAGAGAATTATTTGGTTTCCATGTATTTTATTTCCTCTTATATCTAAATCCTCAGAATTAGGAAGTAGATCACTAGAATTACTAAGTATATTATTACAATTAGGAAGTAGGAAATCTGTTTGTATTTCTGCTCCTATTTTCTTGCTTTCTTCTAGCTTACTAGGCCCTATTTATATGTAATGTTCTCTGTAAGTATTATAGATAAAATAAGAAATAAGAAGAAACCATTTTCTCTTCAGGATAGTACTTGCCTTCTTGTCATGACCAGCGCTTGCCAAGTATTTCCCATCCGAAGAAAAATGACAGCAGACAACTTTGCTATTGCTCTTGCGTATGGAACTAACTTCGTTGAAGGAAAACTCTGAAAAGCAAAAACAGAATCAGCTATCAACGTCTACTACAAATAGAAGGAAGAAGTTGTTCAATTACCTTTTGAAGAATCTGCAGCATGTTCAGCAGCGTTCTGCTTTAGCTTTCCAAACACATCTCTTCCATCACCAGCATCATGTGAGAGAAAAGATTCCACATTATCATCCAAAGAGCCAACATCGCCAAAATGATCTATGTCATCCTGCAGTCCAAATGGAATGGTAAACAAGGTCTGTGCCAATGACTCATAAGAGCTATGAGAATTTTAAAGGTCTTTCCACACAAGACGCAGGTATAACAATGAATGCAGACCACTGGCTCATAGAGATACATGTGCTGGAGGCAGATCAAAAAGTGCAAAAGATCATTGTTCTATGAGACTGGACACTTCTGGTGACATTCTTGCACGGATATTTCAACCATTTAAATAGGAATCTAGGCAGATTTCTGATTCCTGAAATGACCGCTTATGCTAACATTCCAGCCTCACCACTCCAAGAAAGTAAACTAGCAGAGAAAGCCTACATAACTAAACAACTGGTTGGCACAGTATAATTATTTTGATTACTCAGGCGCACAGCTATACGGTCAGCGACTTGTTAAATGGCAAATCAGGTAACCGAGGACAATAATGACATTGCTACTGACAATAAGAAAGGAGAAGCAACAAATTTCTTAGCCACAAGGATCACATGAGTTAAGACAAGTACCAGCTGGTTTGCAGAAGATGTAAGACCGGCCAATCCATTTGAACCATACGTCATCAAACCTTTCGACATGCTACCAGCTTGTTGCACGTTGCTTGCCATGGAAACTCCATCGCCAGCTGTATGAGTTGAAGGAGTAGATGGTTGTGAGTTGGGGGCTCCAACCGTAGTTCCTGTGCCTGTACTGTTAGCAGGTCCAGAAGATGACAGCCCCTTCCTCTTCCTGTTGTTCTGTAACATCAACAGCAAAAATCATCACTTTGCCATTCAGAACAAAGATCCTATCTGAAATTACCGTCAATATTTTGAATAAATATTTTGGTCCAGCGAGTATTACTAGAAGGACAGCCTGCAATTAATTTGAAATTCAATTTCTAATGTAGCTAAAAGTTATCTTAAAAGGAAAAGACAGAAATCATCTCTATATAAGAGAAGGAGCCAAACCTGTTGCATTTGCTGTGACTGCAAAGGATCCTGCTGTTGCTGAGACGAAGACTGTTGTGGCATATTCATCTGCAAAGGATTGAAATTTGGCTTGGACAAAAAGCTCAAAGTGATATTGTAAAGCACTTAATGCTGGCGATGCACATAAACCACTAAGTCAACAAGCAGCATAAACTGGCTAAACTTGACGGCCTCCTTGTGAGCACTTCTATTATTCTGATCTTCGAAAATGTCCACAGGCAGAAACAAATTGAAAATGCCCTTTTAAGTATATGTCTCCCATTTCATGCAAAAGGATCAATCTAGACAAGGGGAAGGCACCATCTCTCTTGCTGGAAGTTAAAACAGGAACCTTTTATTTTGGGTTTAATGTCACCGATGGTCCCTGTACTTTTACTAGAAGATCCAAATTGTTTTCCTACTTTTCAGAAAGTGTCATAGTTAGTTCTACAGTCATACTTTTTCTCTTGCTGGTCAATTTTGTTGACATGGACTGTCAGATAGCTGACATGGATCCCGGATTACACGTATCGTATACTGGTTTGCTCAAAATTGTTATGTAGCACCACATCAGGCAACATAAAACCTTAGAGAAGAAAAAAGTAAAACCGAGAGAGAGAGAGAGAGAGAGAGAGAGAGAGAGAGAGAGAGAGAGAGAGAGAGAGAGAGAGGTCGTCCATCATGGCTGCCATGGCCACAAGCTCAAGTTCTAAGCTCACGGCGGCCATGGCCGTTCAAGCTCAAGCTCACAGCCGCCATGGCCAAATCTGGAGCTGACCATATCTCAACTTCTTGGCAATAGCCACTCGATTTGAGCTTCAATGGCCATGGCTGCTCGAGCTTAGAGCTTGTGGCAGCAACCGTGAGAGCATAAGGCGCGCAGCCATGGACACAAGATCTGGAGCTCGTGGCCATGGATGCTTGAGCTTCAAGCTCGCTATGGCCATGGCCACTCAACCGCCAGATCTCGAGCTCCTGGCCATAGCCGCTTGAGCTCGAGCTCGAGCTCGACTCACAACCATTGCTATCACATCTCAAGGTCGCGGCTACCATGGCCTCTTGAGCTCGAACTTTGGGTTCGTGGCTGCCATGGCCACTTCAACTCGAGTCTCCTGGTCATGGCCGCTTGAGTTATAGAGCTCAGGGCCATGGCCGCGAGTGGTGGTCATGAGTGCAAAAGAACACGTGTGTGACTTCACCTCTACCTGCTCACTCAAGGACACAAGTAGCAATAGGGCATGAATTGTCGTGGTAACTTTTAGAGGGCTTGTGGCTATGGAGGCTGCTTCGTCAAGATGAGAGGGAAGAGTACAAAGGATAAGGGAAGAAGCTTAAGGGAAAATTACTAGAGAGAGAGAGAGAGAGAGAGAGAGAGAGTGAAGCCAACGTTGGTTTGAACAAGAAAAAGAAAAAGAACACAGAATTTCCACCTTTGGTTTGAAAAAAGAGAAAGAAAATCCACAACGTCAAATATTTAACGGCATTAATGCCACCTTAACAAATTCCATCACAGGAACGATATAGGGACGACCGGTGGCGGTGACACTTTTTGGAAAGTAAAGGCATGCTTTTGAACAAAAAAGAGTAAAGGAAAGATTTTGATTTTCGGGCAAAATTGCATGGACCATTGATGACATCAACCCTTCTTTTTTTTTTTAATGTAATTGGTGGAAGCAATATATATTTCATAGCATCATGTCTTTTCCATTTTTTTGGTAAGAAAATTTATTTTACAGGAATGTCAACAATTGAAGCAAAATATTAATGATAGCATGACGACTTCTCCATTTTTCTTTCAGGTAACAAAATTAATCTCTTAGAAGCATACGATAAGGATTCAGAATTATTCTGCAAATAGATCAACACTGAAACCAATAACCTTTCAGCAACAAAATGAAAAACCAGAAAGTGCCTGGTGCATGTACAACTATAGTAGAGCTTCACCAATGCATTTAAAAACTGATATTACCTTTGATGAAGTAGATTGCATTGGAGAGCCTACAGATCCATCATTCGCAACCACCTGGCCTTCTTTTGCATTTAAAGTTCCCCTGGCTAGTCCTCTAAAGACTCGAGGATCCATGTCGCCAAAGATAGGTGAATTATTGATGTTTCCGTGTGTCTGAACTTGAGCTAAAAGCTGTTGCTGCTGTTGCTGTGGCAACAGCTGAAACTGATTTGCACTCTGTAAAAATGGTTTTTGGACCTGTGCACCTAAACCTGGTCGAATCTGCTCAATACCCTAAAAAGAGATATTGGCCCGGCAAGATTTTAAGACAACACAACATAAATGCATGAACTTTCACCAGATAAGCAATGTACTCAACTCACCGTCAAAGGCCATCCTTTCAGCGGTAAATCACCAGCTCCAGGGTTCAATCCTTAACAAGACAATAAGAATTTTTTTATTGAAATAATAACAAAACACATAAGGTAAACGGAAAGTGACTTTTGCTTAAAAGTTAGGGTCCTCCACTTGATTATAGCAGAAAAGAGCCGAACTAAATAGACGAGTTTCACAATACGCTATACTGTTCTCGTGTGTTTAACTTGCTATATGCTACAAGACTGAAGAAGTCCAGTTGTTACATGAAACAATTGATCCTTGGCTCCCTGTATATGGCATATGAGGTTTGAATATTTTGACCATATCTAGGGAACACCAAATGACATTCATCTTGCAACTGATTTAATGACCTAATAGGAGTCGATTGAATCTCACACTAAATCAATCAAGATGGAAAAATTGCATGTTCTTTATTTCTCATAGTAGAAAACTATTTTGGAATCCCTAATCTCAATGGGGAGCTCTCTATGAACAGATTTTTCACTTATATATTGCACATTCTTAGCTCATGAACCAAGTCCATTAACTTGATAACCATCCAATGTCTCATAACTCAACTGTGTTTTTAGAGAAAGACGCATGAAATGGTAAGCTGAGGGCAATTTATGGGACAAATACAGAGCTGAAGAAGGGAAAAAGCTTTGTAGCCATTCAGCTTGATTGAAGTGCGGACCTCTATCAATGAACGACTTAATTTACCTGCATTCCCAATTCCAGGTCTTGGCTGCATGACTCCCTGGCTGTAGATTGAAGAATGGTTCATAGGCAACGACCTTGGAGTTCCACCCATGTTAACCTCACCTTTGATGTCCTACATGCCATGAGCAGATGAAAATTAAGTGAAGAAAACAAGGGACAGAGTTATAGGATTAGGCACTGCAGCCATGAACTGTCTATTCTCTTGCCTGAATTTGTTGCAGTGCTGCCGTTACACTCCCAGAATTTCCTTGGACCAATTGACTGTGACAGGAAGATCCAGCTATTAGTTGCTATGTCCACAAGAGAATAAGAGTATCAAGAAAATGCGTGCCATTAGATGGAATTGACATGCAAAATTTACCCAGGATGACTTGATGTTGACTTCAGGAGGGCCAATCTAGCATCCAGAAGCGGTTGGGAAACCTGGGAATCCATCGGATTAGATAATTTTAAGCGCTCCTCATACATTTTTGCTGCTAGTGCACTGGCAGTAGGTTGCCCTAACATTCCTTCAGAGTTGACAGAATTTGCAGGACCTCCAAGTGAAGACTGAGCAGAGTTACTTCTTTGCAGCTGAGCTTGACGCATAAGATGCAATTGTTGCATCTGCAGTTGCTGTTGCTGCTGTTCTCTTGCTTTACCTTGTTGTGCCTACAAAATCACAGATCATACTATAAAGGAAAATAGCCTTCCAAATAACATTAGATGAAGTCACAACAAATATGAAGCCACCTCAATATACGCTGCAGCAGCTTCAGAATGTTTCTCGTTAGTCCTTGCAATAAATATATCCCAAAAGACTGACCACCACTCAAAAAGAAATCCCCCAGGAGCATCAATCGCTGCACGTACAGAAAACAAATTATTCCAAAATGCTCGAATGGAGAATCGACCAGGATACTCAACTTAAATGAACAGTAGAGACACCAATCCAACTAATGGACACAAATTTCATCAACTGATTCACCAAGACTAAACAGGAGGATTGTGAATTAGCCAGCATAATTTACAGGTCATAATTCTATTTGCAAGCTCAAAATACAATCCTTGGGAGAAAAAAAAGTGCAACTTTGACATAATGGGCTGTTATCCATCCATCAGAAAAGAAATAGGGTAAGGTTCATTGAGTTGGTTGCATGATAGTCAGGTGAATGGACTGTGACTCGCAGTCCTAGTTCCAATGTTTGTCTATGCCTTATGAGCAAAAAAATTGATTTGACAAAATCTGATTCTTTAATTCATGGAGTGAACTCTGCATCGGGATTGGAATTTTTTTTGTACGCAAGTGAACTAAATCTCCCATCCAACTTCATCCCACAACAACTTAAACGATAAATTTCTGCTGACTAAGAACTCAAAGTAAACATTTAGCTCAACTGAATAATTCGCTCAAGCGAGACTGTATTCAGTTTGCTCATTGGAAAAATCAAACATGTTTAATTAACCGTGAGCAATTCTGAACCACACCAAAACATGGAAACCATCACTAAGTTCCAAGAATCACTTGCAATCCAACGATATTTCAGTTCCCTCTTGAGTTACCCAACCATGCACCTAATCACAGCCCTAGGCCAAGCCCCAACTTCATTTAGGCTCAAATTATTACCATCTTAAGCAAAACAAAGTACAGCATTGCCAAATAAAAGAAAAACAACAGAAGAAAAAGAAAAAAACAAAGCTTGGCATCATAAATTCTGTCTTACCAACAGGATCCGGTGACACCTTCCCTTCGGTCATGAACGACTTCGCAGTGTTGTGCAGCTTCTTCTTCATTAAATAGTCGTAGATGTAAACGTCAAGCCTGCGCAGCCACACACACAACCCGAAAAGGAACAAAAAAACACGGAAAGTTCTTAAGCCGCACAATTCCCAGCCAAAACAAAAAACACGAATCCACGAACAATCCCAAACACGAATGCGGCAACGCACATCTTATCCGCTTCCCAGTTGCTCTGATTCTGCGCCATTGCAGCTCCCCCCGTCCCCCCTCCCGGGCGCCGGAAGAACCAGCTCGAGACCCGAAGCGCGCGAGCGGAAGCAAGGCAGTTTCAGCACATGCAATGCCGCGATCGGCCGCGATCCGGTCCGGAACCGCAGCTCACCATCCCGAATTGCCCCGTCCGGCCGGAATCGCGCCTCGGCTCGAGCTCCTCCCGGCCCGGATTGGGACCCAAAACCGCGGCGCCGATTCGATCTACCCGTCCAGCGAGATCGAGGGGAAACCCCCCCCGAAAAAAACCTCGGGCCGGTCGATTAGGAATTTCGCGGGGAGAATTTGCAGGACTCTGATCACGCGATCAACAGCAGCAGCGCATTATCGCTCGGGGGGAGAGGGAGATCATCGTCGAGCTCGGTGGGCGTCGTTCTTCCTCGTCGACTTCAGCAGAGGCTCTGGAGAAATTGTGCACGGGATTTTTGGGGAAGAATAGAGTGGAGAGCTCCAGTTTCGCCAGGGGAGGAACCGGAGGTAAGCAGCCCCCCCTCCCCCCGCTTTTTATAGGGGGCGGAGGTTCGGACACGGAGGCTCGGATACGAAGCGGAGGTCCGGCGGAGGACCTGAAGCTTGGGTCGGTTCGGGGTGTTTCGACGGGGAGGGACAGGGGGGGAGGAGGGCCGTTGGATCGTCCGACGTGGAAGATGAGTCGGAAGGGCGAAAAAGGAGTCTTCGAAAGAACAAGAGATACCGTTGTGGGGGCTGGGAAAAAAGTCGGTGTTGGAAATATACAGGGGAAAATGACACGAATAACCTCGAAAAATTTTGAGTGCGGCGTGTGATGTCACCTCTGAATTTTTAATTTGTTAAATATAATCCTGAACTATTGGTAAATGTCCAGTTTACCTCCTAGATTATGTGCAAACGACACAAACAGAAGGACAACATTGGATATTTACCAACAGCTCAGGACCATAGTGAACAAATCGAAAACCTAGGGATGAAATTGAATATTGCATCAAAGTTCAGAGACCACATTGCATAAATTAAAAGTCTCGTGGTTGGAAGCCACAACGTCATTTTCGGACTCCTTTTTGCCCTTAGTTGACTGAACATGATCGGCTGCCCAGTGACGACGATCGGCGGTGGTCAGAGGTGACCACGTCTCTTCGGGGAAAATGGTTTTTGCTTTCATGGGGAGGGGAATCTTTGGTGGATGGAAAACATTTCTTTTTGCCCAATTCGTTTTCTGGTGTCCCAATAGGTGCAAAGTCCGAAAACATTTTGTTGGAAAGTATTTAACTCCAAACAAATGTACCCTAAGATCGATATATGAAATTGATTTTGTTAAGTGATTGGATTTTGTGATATAATATTTGGTATGTCTTGAGCACAAATAAAGTATGTATGACTGATTCACAGTAATAATTTTCATGTATTTTGACTGTGATGTCTACTCTCTTTAACAAGTGATTCCGAGTTTCTTATACCTGTTCTTATGCTGTGCTGTGATATGGGTGTTTGATCCTATGTTTTTCTGAAGATATATTACCATGAAGTTGAGTGGTACAGTTTCCTAAAAAAGGTTATGAACTATCAAAACCTGTAAAGCTGCGTTTGGTCGACCGGATAAAAGCCAGGATAGGATATGTTTTATCATATCCTGTGTTTGGTGGTGGTTCAGGATAGGATAAGGTCGGATATAGACTGGATATAGCCCGGATAAAAAAATCCGAGGAGAGGGGTGGGATAGACCTGGATAGGATTTCTAATGTCTATTTTTCCAGAAACCCTACGCTCCACTCGCTGTCATCTTCATCCCCACACCTTGTGCGCTTTCACCAAAAAAATTTCTCGGCTTTTTTTCCTTCACCGACTTCTCAGGACCCGTGAATAGCCAAAAAAAAAATTTATCCTATCCGACTTTAAATCCGTAGTCCATCAAACAGTGGATATGATATGAAGAAATCCCAGGATTTCTTATCCTATCCTATCCAGTCTTATCATATTTAGAAATCTGGACGACCAAACGCAGCCTTAGTGTGTAGCTGTGAGATATCTGTCAAATACCTTATATAGAGTCTCGCTTGTCGATAGATCTACGGAGGAGAATTCTCACCGAAAAGCAATCTCAAGTTCCAAAATTGGGGTGGTTGTATCAAGTCATTGTCAAGAATAGCGTGCTCGTATGCTTTCAATATGGAAGACAACCAAATGTTCAACTAGCAATCTAGGGGATGCTTTTGCATTTGGTTTATACCTTATAAAGAAAATATCATTCTCGAATCCACATAGATACCGAGTCATTGATGATATGCAAATCCTGGACTTCGAACTTGGCACGCCACCAAAAAACGAAAAACCGACACTTTTCGAATGATGACAGGAGGACTCTCCGATTCTTAAGTTAGCGACTCAACCAAACCGACAACGACAATATCGAGTGTAAAACGAGACAGCTGTAAAAGAAATGGGCTTTCGTGAGTTGGGCTCACGATATTTTCACACGGGCTTGTGCGTATATTGGACCCGCTAGAAAATCTGAACGATTTTAAAATTACATAGGTTGGATTTATATTTTCAAAAACCGATTCACCATTATAGACGGGATATATACTAGAAATGTCCTCTAACAATTGGCTCTTACTAAATTTTTAAAAAAAAATTAAACGGCTCTCACCATAAAGAAAATAAAAGAAAAAGAAAGAAAGCGAAAACTTCGCTGGGCGAAACCTAGGTCGAAATGAATGTATGGTACATGATTATAATTGACTGGGCCGAAATTCTATTTCTTTTCGGGCCCGGCGTTTAGAGAACAACACCGGTCGAGTGATAAACTGAAACAAGCTCTATTGGTCAAGCTCCTATCCCTTTTGTCATGATTTCCTAATATTAAAGGGATAATTGCGTAGAAAATCCTAAAACTTATTACGAATGTACAATTGAGTCATAAAACTGTCAAAAAGTTCAATAAAGTCTTAAAACTTGTTATGAAAGTACAATCGAATCCTACAACTTTCAAAAAGTACTATTAAGTCCTAGAAATGATTACGAAAGTACAATCGAGTCCTAAAACTTCCAAATAGTACAATTAACGGAAGGATTTGATTGGATCAATTTAACAAGTTTTAGGACTTGATTGCGCTTTTTGAAAATTTCAAGACTCAATTGCACTTTTGCGATAAGTTTTATGACCGAATTGCACTTTTTGAAAGTTTTAAGACTTAATTGTACTTTCGTGATAAGTTTTAGGACTTTCAATACACTTATCCCTATATTAAATTACAATATACCTAAAATAAAGATTATTTTAATCATCTTGTAATAATTTAATTTTTTTCTTTGGATTTGGCAAGTACGTATACTTTTCATAAGTGTCGGGAAACAAGCCTACAAGCGACAAAGAAAACTAATTGACGCAAGTCCGCTCAAAGCTATCTAGCCCTTATCTTGCGTCATATTTTATGAGTCTACCAGTGAGATCGAGATCATTTAAATTTATAGAACAAAATTCACCATATCCGATTCATAAATCAAAGATTTTATTGTTCATCCTATGAGTGTTGATGATAATAAAGCCATCGTTTTACTAACGGTTTTTGTTGATGTACTCAAGTTAAAATTAAATTCGAAAGAAGGAGCAGAGGAAGCGGTGACGGATTTTAAGTTTCGAATGCCTGGAACAAGTCCAATAGAAATGCACTTTGCCGGCAAGTGAGCGGGCAGGCACCCGAACCTTCATATTTGGGCTAGGAGTGCACAAAAGAACCGAAAACCGTCCGGACCGCCCGAAACTGGACCAGACCGGACCAGCTCGGAACCGGTCCAGTTCCTGGTTCCAATTTAACCAGTCCGGTTCCCCGATTCCAAGTTTGAAACCGCTCACCTGAACCGGATCGGTAATATAATAATATATTATATATTCATTTAATTTTTATTTACAAAAAAAAGAGAAATCCTAATACCCTAAACACATGCGACTCGTTCAATACTCGAAGCTCAAAATTAGCATCAATAGCAATTTTTAAGTGCCATTCGGTCTTTTGAATTAATTATCAGGATAGTGATCATCTTTGTTTTCAAGGAGTGCTGATGATCCTCATACATGTAGTTATTTTGCAAATTATAGGGGACCATATGCGGGCAATTGTAGATCTCATCTCAGATGGAGTGATCCCGTCGAACATAGCAAGGGGATATGTACTTAGGCGTCTTATTCGGAGGGTTGTACGTTAGGTTACTGGGAATAAAGGGGCGATGGCAAAGAAAATCTTGAAGGGGCATTTTTACTATGACTTCTGTATCAGACTATTTTAGATGGAAGGCTCACTTGTCACTTGGACAAGAAAGAATTGGTGAAATCAAATGCCAAAGGACAATTCTGTACACTGAAGATACATCATACACGTGCATTAAGGTCAAAGTGCAAGTAGCATGCAGTGAACACAACCCACCAACGGGTGGGAATTAGACCGATGCATTTTCTGATTTTTTCGGCGAAATTTGGCGAGACCAGTTTCATGGACCCACCCAGAAACCGGTTCTTAGTGGCCGGTTCCTATCCTAGAATCGGGAACCGCCCACCTGGACCATGCTCACCCCTAGTCCAGGCTCCCGACCTCTATCTGGCTACTAATGAGAAACTTCTTAGACTCAGTTTGCTCTTGTAAATCACAAGCGAGATGAGAAATACACTTAAGAGTGTGAAGTGTAAAAGCCTTCGAGGCTTGAGATCGAAATTGTCTTTTTGAGCGTTGGCTCTGGATGAGCCGATCTTTGTACTTGGATTCGGTCAACGGAGTTTCGGGAAACTCCCGAGCATATTTGGGGAGTTGCGTAGGCTAGGCCCAAACCGCTATAAATCACTCGAGCAAGCTTTTCTCTACCCCTAGCCTCTCCAAGACTTGTTTCAATTTGCTCTCTATGCTAATGAATTTCACTGAATTTCTACTTGCGAGAGTAGAAAGGAAATTTGGGAGAAGTTAGAAGTTACTTTGGAAGGGATTGACAAGGTCAAGAAGCCTAAAATTAGCGAGAAAATTGTCTAAAAAGTCATAAATCTTCTGCACCTTGGCCAATTCAGTTATAAACCTTTCAATTTTGTCAATTGAGTCATAAAAATTTTCACGTTTGCTAATGTCCACGTCGTTGTTACCCTTGCCATGTAGGACCTCTGGGGACGACTTGGACATCTTTTAATAATTTTTAATATATATTTTTTGGCGTTTTCATTTCTTTTTGGCCTGAGGGCCGACAACCCTTGCGGCCGACCCTTGTCGGCCATAGGCGAGGGCCACGATGCCAATTCCCAATGGCACCGTGGGTCAGCCGGAGACCCTTGTTGGCCCTTAGACCAAAAAGAAAAGAAAAAAAACTAAAACTAAAACTAAAAACCAAAAAAATTATTTAAAAATGTTCACGTCGTCGCAAGCCCTGCCACTTAAGACCGCCGTTGACCATATCATCAATTTCTAATTAAAATTAACCTGATGGATTCAATTGGCAAAACGTGAAAATGTTAAGTACTCAATTAACAAAATTGAAAGGTTTAGGACTGAATTGGCCAAAGTGCAGTTGGTTTAGGACTTTTTGGACAATTTTCCCTAAGATTAGCATGCTCTCTTTGATATGAAAATTTTGGTATGAATGAAGTCATATGTTTACTCAATTTAGGGATGTGATTAACAGATTGAAATCTCTAGGAAAACAGTATTCTCTGGAGGAGCTGAAAGAAGATACTAAGAGCCTTGCGAAAGGCTTGGGAAGCAAAAGTCAATGTAATTGATGAAGCTCACGGTATCTAGACGATGTCCTCGAACGAACTCCTCGGCAAGCTTCTCACTCATGAAATTAAGATTGAAGGCAAGAGGAGGAGAAGATCTTTAAAAAGTTGAAGGAATCCATTGCTTTTAAGGTTTCTACTCATAGTGACAAGGAGTCTCGTGATGAAAGAGATGACGACTTTGCCGAGTTCGCAAGGAAATTCAAGAAAAAGAACAGAAAATTCTATGAATGCGATAAAATGAGCATTGATGAATTGCAAGGTGCTCTTGATGATCTTGTTGTCGAGTATAAGCAAATTTCTAACAAAAATTGTGCTTCGAAAAGGGCGATTGATGCTTTGACAAATGAAAACAAGGATTTGAAAACTGAAAATGAATCCTTAAAGACGAAAGAACGTTGATTTAGAAAAGAATTTGAGTCTTTCAAGATGAGCTTGAAACACGAAATGCTGGTTCGGAAAAAATTAAGGAAAATGATGAGTTGAGTTCTTCCCTTCAGAAAGTTGAATGAAGGAAGGATAGAAGAAAAATTATGCTTTTTAGACATAACGTGAGTCATTGAAATGATTATGCTCGCAGGCATGTTCAGTCTAATAGGTTTGCATCTCATGTATACTATCGTTTTTGGCAAATTTGGACTTGTTGCAAGAAGTTACTATTTTGGAAGAAATGTTTTTTTTTTGAAGGTCGCGGAGATTTGGATTCTAAGGAAGTTTTGCATGGATCCAAGTTTGTTTTGGAAATACAGTTGCATAGCATTTTGCGGTCGACAAATTAGTCGGTCGCTCTGAACAAGCCCGGTAGTAAAACTCACATTCTTGGCAAGTAAGTAGGTCCAGGGTCTTGCCTAGACCTCTATTTTGGCCACTTTTCTGAAGACTAATCAGGCGATCGAAATTAGAAGAGCGGTTGCCGAGGAGTCTCACGATCGAAGATTTAGGCGTTTCGAGTGCATCCAACGGCCGGTCTTGTTTGGTTTTCGTATAAATGAAACCCGAAAGGTCTTTGATGGGTTAGATGACATATCGTGTTAGTTATCTAAGTGCGAGAAAACCACACCCACAAATCCCTAGTCCTAAAGCCTCCGATTCTATCGCACCTAGCCGCAGCCTTCGTTTGTGTAGCCATCGCTCGGTCGTTACATGCACAACCACACACGCACATCCTCTCTCTCTCTGCTCGTGCATGCTCGCATTTCTTGTGAGAAAGAAAGAGCAAATTCGCGCAACAACCACGCAGGTGGAATATTTGAACATATCCTGATATTTCGAATACATGTTTAGTTATTTTAAACTTTCCTGTTTTTCTTATGGTGAATAAGAAAAAAATTGTTTTTAAGTTGTTTAAGAGTTTTGGGTTGATGAATGCTATACGCGTCCTTTTCTTCATTTTGTTAATTCATTTAATTGTTTGGGGAAGTACTTTAAACCTCTATACCCCCATTTAATCATATGCAGGTAAATTTTCCATTCGGATGGTGCAGTTGGAACATGGTCAGTCTAAAAGTTTCCATATCAATATCTATTTTCCCTTGACAAAAGATCACTATATCACTTTAGTATTCTAGGTTTTCAGGGTCTCCAAGAATAACACAAATTTTAGCAAACGAGGTTGTGCCACTTACAGGTTACAAGTTGAATTTACATGTGTTTCTTTGCATGGCCGATTTGTTTGGTCTAATCACGATGCAATTAATCACATACTAAATACATTCCCACTTCCAAGTCGTTTTTTTCAACTTTTGAGATAAATTCCAAGATAGAAGACATCATGTATCGATGTCTAAACATCAACCGTCCCGTACATCTGCACGTATTAAATTCTACCACCTTTCTTGATCACGGCATTTTTTTTACTTTTCATCCCATCCTGGTAGGTGGCGCGCAGGAGAGAGAGAGAGTTTGCGTTTATGATGGACAGTAGAGAGAGAGAGTGTGTGTTTATGATGGACAGTAGAGAGAGAGTGTGTGTTTATGGTGGACAGTACAGAGTTTGGTCGATCCATAAATGGGGGCATTTAGAAGCTCCCACTGAACGGAGGAAATATTCGGTGGTTGCTAACCGACACGCCAAGAGCTGACGTGGCGAGCATGTTTTCCTTCGGTCCAATTATAAGTGGACACGTGGCTATGACGTGGGACGAAAAAAATGATGTGGAAAATTGTTCTTTTCTTCTTCACCCAAAAAATAAAACCAGGGGACTTCTCTTTCAACTGTCCTGAGATGAACAAAGGCTCGGCCGTCTCCACCGCCCAAGCCGCAACCTCCATTCTCAAAACCACCGCGCAACCTCCAGTCACGGCTCGGGTTGATCAGATCCGGAGGAACTCGCGTTTGAGGCACCGTCCAGCGTCCATGGCCACGAGCGATGACGGTGAACGAACTCCAGATTTTGTTTTTGGTGGAAGGTGGAGGCTTGAGGGTGTGGTTGGGTTGGGTTGGCTATTCAAGCTTCACTTTGGCAAAGTATGAAGCGATAAACTACTACAGACCAAAGAGCAAATAAGTCCAGTAATTGGAGCCCTTAACACAGACTAGGAAAAGAGAAATGAAAAGAAGTGTTGTAGATGAGAGGAACACCAACGGAGGAGGAGGAAAAGAAGGTTTCAAAAACCCCAAAATAACTCCAGATCTGAAGGAAGAAGAAGAATTCAAAAACTGCGAACGAACTCCAGATCTGGAGCAGTAGGTGGACGAACTTGCAGTACCATGTGGACGAACTTCAAATCTTCTGACCAAAAAAAAAAAAAACTTCAAATCTGGGGCCATGTCTCGAGCCACCGTCCATGGCCGTGAGCGTTATTTTTGTAAGAACTCCAGATCTGGAGCAGTAAGTGGACGAACTCTAAATCTGGAGCCATGGCCGCGAGCAACACGGCTTGTTCACAGATCTGGCGACGAGCAGCTGGCCATGGGCAAACAGAGGAAGATGAAGTGCTTGTCCATGGCTGACCTCCGCCCAACTTATGGACTAGCCGCCGTCCATGGCCACCCCTGCGCGCTTCAGATATATGACGAATCGCCATCCAGATTTGGAGGCACCATTGTGGACAAGCCACCGTCACCAGTGGAGGCTGTCGTCGTCCGTGCTGACCACCACCGTCCATAGAAACCCAGAAATCTCATCTCTCCTTTCTAAGTTTTTTCGAGACTGTCAATTTTTTACCAACAATATCCACATAAATTTTTTATTCCACGTCATAGCCACGTGTCCACTTATAATTGAACGGAAAGAAAACATGCTCACCACGGCAGCTCTTGACGTGGCGGTTAGCAACCGTTACTGAATATTTCCTCGACTGAATGAGATCACGTTGCAAAAGCAAAATGCCTTCCTCATTATCAAATTTCAAGCGACCTGTTGTCGAAAGATACGCAGCCACGCCAACTCACGAGGGCTGAAATCAAGAAACCAAGTTGACTCGTTGCTGGATAAGAAACAAGAAAGCCAGCCCCACAAGTCAAAACCCTAACTCAGAACGCATTAACTTCCGATGACGCTTCTATGTTTTGTCGAGGGCAAGCAAAGACAGTTGGACGGGGGAATGAATAGGATGGCCAATGGGCAGATGAGACTCATTAACTCGAAACAGCGTGACAGTTGGGTCGTCGTGGGGCCATCCCTTTTAAGAGCTCGTGAAGCAGCGAAATGACACGTAGTCTCTGGCTATATTAAGCTTCGCCCTATAGCTCAAGCATGTGCAGTGAGCTTCTGAGCTTTCTTTGAACTCTCTCTTCGGGTTTTGAGCGACGATGTGGGTCGTTTCGCGTTGTGCCGTGGTTGCACTCTTTTGTGTGTTGCTAGTTGGTGCCGTCGTCGGAGACGCCGATGGCGTCAAAGACGAGAAGCACTTGTTTCGAGGTGGTCTAGGGCATGGGATTTACGGGAAGGGTTTTAGGCACGGGGGGTTTGGTGGAGGCGGTCTTGGAGGAGGATATGGCGGTGGTGGGGGCTTAGGGGGTGGAGGTGGACTTGGAGGTGGGGCCGGCGGGGGTGCTGGAGGAGGCTTTGGTGGTGGGGGTGGTCTAGGAGGTGGCGGCGGTGTAGGAGGTGGAGCAGGTGGCGGGTTAGGAGGTGGTGGGGGTCTTGGAGGTGGGGCTGGTGGAGGTGGCGGACTTGGTGGTGGGGGAGGAGTAGGTGGAGGTGCTGGAGCCGGAGGTGGTTTTGGTGGCGGAGCAGGTGGAGGAGGAGGGCTTGGAGGAGGAGCCGGAGGAGGCGGCGGCTTTGGTGGCGGCGGTGGTGGAGGCTTAGGCGGAGGTGCCGGTGGTGGTGCAGGAGGCGGCTTTGGCGGTGGCGCGGGAGGTGGTGGAGGTCTTGGCAGCGGTGCGGGCGGCGGAGGTGGATTTGGTGGTGGCGGGGGCGCCGGTGGAGGTGCTGGTGGAGGAGTAGGTGGCGGAGGGGGCAGTGGCTTTGGCGGAGGACGCAAAACATTGCATCCATGAGCTTAACGTGGTATAATAGAAGGGGGCAGCATGCAATGACGCATGGGACATTTGGGTTTTCTTTTTCCCTTCGAATTTGCTTTCGTTGTCTAATTAAGGAAGTGTGTCGTGTGAAGAGAAAGTTCTTAAATGAAGTCAGTTGCTTTCAGAACAGTCCTTATCATCTTTGTGTTGCATATGTATAATTTCACTATATTTGCCAAGAAAGTCTTCGAGCCAATTTAAATGTTTCATCTTATCAAATTATCTCTCTCTCTCTCTCTCTCTCTCTCTCTCTCTCTCTCTCTCTATATATATATATATATATATATGCACGTGATTTGAAGGTATATTTCTTGTAATTCAGCACTATTCTTCTGTCAATAAAACATCTATCTCCTCTCGTGCGACGTGTGCTCTTCCATGTAGCTGCACCGGTCCCATAAATACATATATAGTCTTCAACCCTTTCAAAAGGATTATAAATGCTACATGTCCACACCATCATGATTTTGCTTTGTTTATTGGTTCAGGTAGAGCAAGTCATAATCATAAAGAACATGCTACGAATGCTCTCAGTGGTTGAATGTACCTTAACGAGGACATGATCGATTTTCCGAGTATCGACCACCTATATCGTAGGAAAAATATGGGCTTGAAAAAGCTGATAATCTCTATTTTGCTCTAGAATTCTTTGTTAACAAACTCCACCTCCTCCTCCACCTCCGGCGACAGTGATTCCGCCGGGGAAAGGTGTGGAGAGAGAGAGGAAGGAAAGGGACGACAGGTTAGAACTCAAACTGACGCTCTAATGGATGGCATCCCAAGATTTCGAAGGATTTGTTTTTCTCTTTTATGGCTCTTGTCCTGGAAATTGGTAAAATGGATGAATCTGATCAAGCAACGTTCTTTTTTTTTTACTCTAAGTTCCAATCTGACTTAGTTTAATCTCAGCTTCAATTCGCTAGCATTCGGCCATCGCCAGAGCTCTTCACCTGAGCGCCGTCGATTGCCGAGCTTCGGTTTTTTTTTTCATTATTTATATGAAAATATAACTAAAATTCTTTATAAGTGCAGTTTTTCTCCAAATAGCATTTAAACCAAAATATACTTTTCTCAAATAGGTGGGTCGGTTCGAAAATGGTCCGATCCAAATTTATCCATTTCCATACAATACAAATTTCGTTACCCATACAAGATCCAACCATACTGCTAAAACTCTTCTATATTGAATCTAATATAGGAAACCTGGCCTATAGCCAAACTAAGGTGAAAACACATAGTAATTAAGCGCGATATTGAGCGAGGGCGAGAGAGAGAGAGAGTGAAGAGAGAGTCATAGAGATGGGTTGGGTCTACGAATGTCGTGAACCCATTTAACACCCATATTAAACCCATTTGGGTCTAAATTTATTTATGATCAATTTACTGAATATAACTAACCCATATAATAGCTTAACTTATCAAATATGGGTTAAGAAATGGGTCTATGACTCATTTTAATAAGTTTACTGTTCGATTACACTTGACCAAACACTATTTACATTTTGAAAAAAACCCTTTCATTTAAAGTCCTTTGCATTCTTCCAAATGCTTTCCCTAAATGCTCTTCCAAACGCATCCCTAGTCCACTTTGAGAATATGAATTTCAGTTCTTGTAAAAGTTGGGAAAATGAGGGATTTATGAATTACATATCTGATAATTATCTTGAGATCAAATTGGGAAAGTTAGATATCTTGATAATTGCTTGATTGTGTAGGTTAAATTAGGGATGAGCTTTCCAAGAAGTTTTGTTAAAATTTTGAGTCCGAGATTAAAGTTGTTAACTTGCTATTAAAATTTAGTTAATTAACTAGATGTTATATTGGATGGAACAGAAGTAATTTCTCTCTCTATGGTGCATTATATTGTAAGGGACAAAGTCAATTTGCTCTTTGTATTACTCTAAAGATACATCAATAGATTTATTTATTTATTTGTATATATAGCACATCACATGCCATGCATAATAGAGTCACATTTACATGAATTTAAAGAGATAATTACTTTTTCATTCTCATGAAGTTAAATTTACTACTTATATATTTTATATATTATAAAGTCAATTTTACTACTTTTTATCAGGAAATTTTCTCATAAAAAAGTTCTCTGAAATTCTTCAATAATTTTTTTTCTCATTCTCTTTTAGTCAATTTTTCTACTTTTTATCAAGAAATTTTCCTCCAAACTTTTAGTCTTTCTTTGCAACTCTTAAATCGTTAGTTAGAAAAAGAAAATCTCCTTTCATCAAAATTGAATTCGTTTAATGCATAAAATTCACTTTTAATAGGATATATTAGATTAAACTGGAATAGAGTAGACATGATAGATAAAGGGAGCACTTATACATCAATAGAAAGGGATCACTTGAGTTTAATGCCACACCCCCAAAAGAATGTAATAACCTTCAAACATATTTATAAAAATTTTCAAAAACAATCTATATTCCAGAGTTTTCCTTTTTCAATATTTCGAAGTTGCAATATGACACTAATCGATTATCAATTGAATTTTGTTGATTAAAAAGAATTATTAGTAAACTGGGTAGGTGGTTTCAGAGAGACACAACAGCATGGGGAAACAGAGAATGGCATTGTGAGGTTAATGAATGCGTGGTTGGGAGAAATTTTGGTGAGAGAGTACCCAACAACCCCAAGTTACAAGAATGGTGAGTTTTCAATAGTAGGTAAGGATTCAAAAGTTTCGTGGACTAATTTTGAGAACAAATACAGCTACCAATCTTTTTAAGAAAGATGAGAGAGAAGTTACGTGACGCTTACGATCTCACATCGAACGGGAGATGGGTCCGTAAAGCGATCCCTGAGCAGAATTCATCATTGTATAATCATTACCTCGCGTGGTTGTGCGGGTGAATGGGGGAGGACGAGTGGGAAGTCGCATGGTCATCAAATCGAGCGCGAATGGACACACGTGGTCCCATCCGGGGGGTAGGGGACAATACGAGGGTATGGTATGCGGGAAGAGCACTTCGCGCCTATTTCTATTGAGCGACATGTTATGATATCTAAGTTAGTCACCAAATTGTGGGGATACGATTCATTAACGTGAATTAATGTAGAATTTATTTTGGATGACAAAAAAGCAAATGCATTAGTCAACAAATTTTGAGAGAATCCAAATTAATTCGACAAGTTCAGCGAATGCCAGATTTATTGGTTTCTTAAATAAAACACTTGTCGCGACCGACATCTCCCCGGCCCTTTTTTTGAATACATGCAAAAAGGGAGGGTTCGCCTGGTACGTGCTAAGTCTAGGTTTAGGACTTAACTCGGGCCCTCCCAAGCCCATACCATATCGCGACTTAGGGTTTAAGTTTTTTAACATGCAAGTGGTTTATACCAAGGAGTCGCTACTAATCAATTTGGGGTGGGTCGATTAGAAACCCAAATAAGGTGATGGGAGAATCACCATATTCCTACGAACCAGAGATTAATTGAGTTTGGGGACTTGGTTACACTAGTTGGATAACTAATGCCCTTTCGGTACCTTTTTATCCTGTTCATTTTTTGAAAACATTTGTCAGGCAATTTAGATTGATTTTAGGACCTTTCTCCTAACATGTGAGGTGATCAAGCGAGTGCATAATCAGAAACGATTAGCAGTAAAAAACACAACAATTCATGCAGCTTAAGGTTCTAACCTTAACTAAGTTAGATGACATTCAAAACACAACAACTCATGCAATTGTATTAAAAACATGCATAATAACACAACGGTAATAAAAGTAACATGCAAAATATTACTGGGCAATCTCAGGCTTGTCTAATTTAAACAAGACAAAAACATGCATAATAAAACCACAACAAATTAAAACAACAGATATATCACATAAATAATAATAATAATAATAATAATAATAATAATAAATAAATAAATAAATACGAAAAAGAAAAAGAAAAAGAAATTTAATTTTTTTTATTTTTTAAAAATAAATAAATAAATGCGGAAGAAAAAGAAAAAAATTATAATTTTTTTTAAATTTTTTAAATTTAAAAAAAAATAAAAAAACGGGTCGGTCGGATCCGGGTCGATCGAATCCGACCCGGGTCAATGGATCCGACCCAGGGCATTGACCCGGGTCGGATCGGTTGATCGGGGTCGAAACTGACCCGGGTCAACGGATCCGACCCAGGGCGTTGACCCGGGTCGGATCGGTCGATCCGGGTCGGGTCACCCCCTTGTGCACAAACGCAAGGGGGTCGCCGGCGGAGCCAAAATTGGCCTTCCGCCGGTCGACCCAGACCGGCCCCGACTAAGAACCGACTTCTGGAGAACCTCACCAAGCTTCGCCGCCCACCTGAGTCGCCGTCCGACCCCTGGTCGCCGGCCGGCGACCGAATTAAAAACCAGCCTCTTTGAGGCATTTTGTCGAATAGGTGGCGTGCGTCAACAAAAAGGGAAGATTTCGACCTGCTCCGGCGAACTGATGGACTCAGGCGACCTAACTTACCTTCGGTGACGACACACGGACGGCAGGGGACGGCGGTATGGGCCGGGACTCGAGCGAAACGGCCGGCGCGGGTCCCGGCCAAATCGGGAGCAAAAACAGGGGAGAACAGAGCAGTTCGGGCTGGGGGACGACTCACCGATCAAGGCTGCTACGGGATGGCTTTCTGGCAGCTTTGCGGGCGACGGTGCGGCTACGGGGACCTGCAAAAACTCGGATCTCTTCTCTTTCTCTCCCTTTTCTCTCTGATTCTCTCTCTGTTCTCTCTGTCTCTGTTTTTCTTTGAAAATGGCCGACCCCCTCTCTCTCTTTCTCTCTGGTTTTTATAGCCGGACGACGGAGCGTCTCTGCTCCGTCACGTCGGCATGACGACGGCCTGCATCGTCCTACGCTGGCCCGTGACTTTCGTGGCCACTTAGGCCGGTGCAGAGCAGGGGGAGGCTCTGAGATGGCAGAGTAGAGAAACAGGGGAAAGAGAGGGAGAAGGAGATAAGGGAGGCCTGGGAAAACGGGGAGGACGGGACTGGCAATTAATGCCAGTCCCGTCGGCGTGCCCCTTCGGCCCTGCTCTGGCTGGATAGCGACGGTGCGGGGCTGCGATGCTGTGCGTCACTTTGCGGCCAGAACAGGGGCAAACAGGAGAAGGAGAAAGCGACCGGCACGGGGGAGAAGGAAGGAAAAGAGAAGCTGGGCCGGGCTGGGCCCAGCCACGTGGAGGGGAAGAAAAAGAGCGGGCTGGGCCCGCGGGGAAGAAAGGAAAAAAAAAGAAAAGGGAGGTGGGCTGGGCCGCGCGGGGGGAGAAAAAGAAAAGGGAGAGAAAAGGGGCCGGGTCGACCCAGCCTCGACCCGGCCCGGTTCGATTTTTTTTTTTTTAAGGTTCTAAATATTCTATTAATACAAATGTGCCTAATTTCTATATGCAATGCATTTAAATACAAATATTTTTTGTTTTAGGAATTAAAGAAAATTAACTCCTAAATTTTATGCAATTAATTTTGGGCAAATTAAAATAGGTGTCAACAGCTGCCCCTCTTTGAAGGTGAGCTCGCAGAGGTTGAGCTCGTAGATGTTACGTTCAAAGATAAAATGACACATAAATTTTAACCCATGCATGCTCAGTGAATGCTATTTTTGGCGAGACCGTGAGTCCCATTTTTCATGATGCGATAAGATGATGCATGCTAAAGCAAATAAAAACATACCTGGGGCTACTTACCTTGCCGAAGGGTAGAGTAATTCCAGATAGTTGATATTTTGTGTCGAGGACCCGAACCTTTCTTCGGTCGTCTTGACTGGGAAATGGTTTGTCTAGGACCCGAACTTATCTTCGGTCGCCTTGACTGGATTTGGTTTGTCCAGGACCCGAACCTTTCTTCGGTCGCCTTGACTGGGGAAATCACTTTCCTAGGACCCGAACCTTTCTTCGGTCACCTTGACTGGATTTTGCTTTACCAAAGTACCTGCATCATAAGGGGTACCTGAAAAGACTTGATGTGAACAGAAGAGGTTAGTCCTGTGCTCAGGAGGGTGAACAAAGGGGTCAATCCAATGTTCAAAGGGTGAACAAAGGGGTCAATCCAATGTTCAGTTGGTGAACAAAGGGGTCAATCCAATGTTCAAAGGGTGAACAAAGGGGTCAATCTAATGTTCAGAGGGTGAACAAATGGGTCAATCCAATTTTCAGAGGGTGAACAAAGGGGTCAATCCAATGTTCAAAGGGTGAACAAAGGTTCAGTTGATGAACAAATGGGTCAATCCAATGTTCAGAAGGTAAACAAAGGGGTCAATCCAATGTTCAAAGGGTAAACAAATGGGTCAATCCAATATTCAGTTGGTGAACAAATGGGTCAATCCAATATTCAGTTGGTGAACAAATGGGTCAATCCAATGTTCAAAGGGTGAACAAAGGGGTCAATCCAATGTTCAGTTGGTGAACAAAAGGGTCAATCTAATGTTCAAAAGGTACCATAACAATCGTAGGTACCTGGTTTTTAGAACCGGACATGGGTAGAATATACTTACTTGAGCACGTTCCTGCCTCTTAAGGGCATGTCTCCTGTCAGACAAGTTTTTTTTGTGCAAAGACATACGTATTCATTGGAGAAATAGACAACTGAGGCTATTCTAGAATATCGTATGAAATATCTTGACCAGCAAGTCAAAATGCTTTTCTTTTTTCAAAGAAACACCTGGTTTACCTTCTGGGTAGTTTGAAAAAAAATTTGATGAAATACCTAGGGTTTCTTACCCGGAGGTTTGATGCATCATATGCTGAATACCCGATCTTTTTTTGGGGCATCTCTCTTGGAATGATAATGAGGGCTTCTCCAGCGCCCGAATTTTCATGTTCTATCACTGGGGATTAGAACTCTGAGTTGCAAAAGCATGCTGTGTCAATTTCACTTGGGGAATAGAAGAAATTTTTTGTGACATCTTTGGAGACGCTCCAAAGGTCATATATTCTTTGAGTCTTTAAGGATATTTTACCTGTCAAAGAGGGTTAGCGCAAACATGCATGCATTCATCAAGGATAGACAAGCTGGGCTATTCCAGAATGTGTATTTGAAAGTTCATGCATAATGATTTTGCCATGTTTGCATCACCAAAAATCCACCGAGGGTCAATCAAGATAATTTTTGTTCGCAAGGTGGACTTCTTGAGATGATGAACGAGGGACCTTCAGTCAGAAAGGACTTTCCACTCACTCTCATTTGAAAAGGATTGTTTGTCTCGACCATTAAGGCGGGAAAATCGAAAACACTCAATCTGACCGTTATCACATCAACAAGGGTCTGAGTTTTGTCGCAAGCGGTACGACGCTGCCAATCTGAAAGGTCTTCTTCAGGGTCGTAATGTAGGCTTGGTCAATGGCTTAACAAAGGAGACTGTCCGAGTCAAGGCCATGAAAGAAAATATTCTGCAATCATCTCTAGGTTTACAAGTCAAGAACCCTGCAAAACGAGACAGAAGTAGTCTTGCTCGCACTTCCTAGAGTATTGTTTATAAACATTTGAAATTCCACGTTAAATCAAGTGCCCTAGTCAGAAGAGACTTCATGAGGGATGTAACGTGGGCTTGGTTTACAGGTTGAGGAACGAAATGATCGTTGGGCTAAAAAATGTGTGTGAGGGTGAGAATTGGTGATCATCTTGGCATTGTCACCATTCTTCTTCTCCACCGTCAGGATTCTTTTGGAAAACTCCCTGGGTAATCCCGTGCTTTGGCTTCTTGGACAGCTTTTTCTTGAGGAGCTTCTGCGTCAAGCATCTTCCTGGATACCATTCGATCTCTGTCCCAATTGCTTTCTCCAGAATAGATTCGTCTTCATCTATCATGTGATAGATCTTTGTCAAGACAGAGTTCTGAAAGTAGGGGTTTGCATCGAAGAAGAACTCAAGTTTAAACCCTTTTGGGTCGTCTATTCTACACTGCTTAACATCTTTAAGGTATTTGAGAGCACTTTCATTATGCTCAGAGATCTCCTCAGCTAAAACTTCATTGTTTTTTAAAGCAGTTACCCAGAAATTAGGGACTCCTTTCTCTTCATCCTTTTCATCGTTTTTCTTCTTCTCCTTCATGGGCATCGGCCTTGCTTTTATCAGGCACACTGCTTTTTCATGCCCCTAATTTTTTAGCATTTTTTGCTATTCTTTTGGTGTTGTCAGGATTAGCCTAAACAAGTTTGAACAGAACAATGTTATTAGGCTCTTGGAGTCTTCATCTTGATTCAGTACTTTGGACTCTGATGTTCAAACTGTGGTGACTTTTGCTTTGCCCCGGTGTGGGGGATGATCACTAATTGGGTTCGTACAAAATGAAATCGCCGGCTCAATTGGGCTAGCAAAGGATATAAGTGTATGGGATAGAAAAAGATCTGCTCTTCAGCATCCTAGGGCATTTAAATTATCGTGAGAGTTCATCTGCAATAAAAACACTCAAAGATTAATGCAAGTGAGAGCAAGAAAATTTCTATTCATCTTTTTCACCTTGTGCGAGCTGTTGCGGGTGATGATCATAGAAAATTTTAGATATTACAAACTCCTCATCCTTTTTGTCTTGCTCAGTTTTTAGGTAAGAACATCACTGTTATCAATGACATGTTGGCATTTTGGACAGGCTTTAGTTTGCTGCTCCTCTCTTGACAACGCTCTCTTGGCTTCGATCGTCCGGCCGTCGATGGTGTGCTTGTCTTGGAGGACTCTGTCGAGGACCGCCGGACCCGTGAAGATGACGAGACCGAAGCCACGGGAGCGGTGATCTAAAGGGAATGACGTTCTTCTTGCTCCCTCTGAATTTGAATCCTCCTTGTGATGCCGATTTACCTCAAGCTGCCCCAATATGGGGTGGTTCTTGACAGGGGTAATTTAAAAGGAACTTCCGAGTGTATGGGCTAAAAAATGGTCAAGCAAAGGATTAACGGTAGTGTATGGGGTAGAGAAATGAGCCGCCTCTCATCATTTTGGCTACCGTACCTTATGTGAGAAATTCCTTTACCTTGTAGAAATGAAACCTTTTCGCTCATCTTGCAAGGGTTTGGTACGTGAGAATGTGTATAGACTAAGGATTGCCTCTCATCATCCTGACACACCTTGTTCAAAACATCGGAGCAGTTCGACACCATTCGTCGAATTGTCAAAATTGTCACAGGGAATTGGTGAATTAAACAGGTGAAATTAGGGGTAAGTACACTACAAGTGCCATAACTTTTGTACGGAGGACACTTAAGTGTCATAACTTTTTTTTGGCTCACTTGAGTGCCACATCGGAGTAGAAATGAACACTTGAGTGCCTTCCGGCCAAATGTGCTACGTGGATTTCTGACTTAATTTTTTTTCATACGTGGAAATTAGAAAAATAAACGGACGTCCAACGTGGAAAAAGGATATTCCACGTGGAGAGAAATGACGTCGTTCGTTGGATCTCTTTGAGTGAAAGAAACGTCGTCGTTTCTTATAAAGAAAGAAACGTCGTCGTTTCTTTTGTTTATGTCCTCTCCATCTCTCTATCTCTATCTCAACGATCGATTAGGGCAAAATTAAGGCTCTCTCTCAAATCGATCGATCTCTGTCCCTCATTGATCGTCCTATTTAGTCGCGAATTAGGGCTTCGATCTTCGTCAACACTTCGACGAAGGAGCAAATCGAACTATCCCTCGCTCGTATCTTGTTCGTCTGTCAATTTCGGAAGGAAATTGGGTCTGTCGCACGCCGAGTGTTGGTCAACAGTGAATAAAGGTTAGCGAGTGATTTTGTTGTGTCCACTGGCTGACCAAATGAGCTTCGCTTTATCCTTTGTCGTCTTTGAATTCTTGGTGTTGTTGACAGATTGTAAAAGCACGTTGAACGGCCATTGACCGACACCCCAGATTAGCGTTTGGTGCGAAAGTGTAAAGGTGGGTGCTTTATTTTGTTCGTCGTTATATTTTGTCGTCTTGTATCCATTGAACAATGGCCAGAATTATCGTTTATTGAACGTGGGGACTGATCTCAAACTTGTCTTGTCTCTGTCTATTGTTTACTTAAAATTGGGTTGAAAGTGGGGACCGAATCGATTGCTCAACTTGTCCTCTTGTGTCTATGTATTGTTTATTGAAAGTGGGGACAAATCGTACAACTTGTCATCTGTATGAGTTGTGGTCCCGGACAATAGAATAATTTTTTTTTGTCTTGACTGCAGTGTTAAAATGGATGATAGCACTGCACCCATTACTGTGTGCTATGGTGGGAATTTTGTTACTGGAGAAGTGTGGAAATATGTTGGAGGAAGTGTTGCTGTTGTTAGGGTCAGCATCAGTAATCTATCATATGAAGACCTTGAGAAAGATATATCGAAACAGTTGCGGTGCAAAGTAGGAAAATTGCACTATCAAATACCTGGTAAGAGTCTGAAAGATGGATAGAGATATCTGTATGATGATGGTAGTGTGAGAGATCTAGTTTACCATTTTCTTCATCATCATGAGGTTTATGTGTATGTTGAAACTGTTGGTGCTGAGTATGAGGAAATAGTGTTGGAAGCTGGTATTGAATCTGAGGTTGGTGATAGATCTGTTTTAGAGCAAGATCGGATATCTGAGGACACCGAGGCTTCCCTCACAGCTCGTGTGCTAGAGATATGTGAGCAACTTGAGAAAAGTGGTGGCTTAGGTGATGATGAAGAGGAGACGCTGCCTGAATCATCGAGTATAATCAATTTGGGTTCTTGGGATGTTGCACTGTCCAATGATGACGATGAGGAAACATTACTGCATACAATTTACGAGAGTGATGTTGATGATGAAGACATTGCAGTTGCAAGGGAAGAAGTGAGGGCATATCAGCAAGGAAGGAAAGCATCAATTGGGGTAGTGGATGAGGGCACTTCAGTAAATCAGGATTGTGGAGCTCCAACGGCAGATCGTGATGATACGGAATATGAGCAAAGTGGTGACAACGGCAGTAGCTCAGAGGATCGTGATAACGAAGATGTTGCAGCTCAGCGTACAATTAGAAGAAGGTATCCTTCTTATAATTCAACCGATACAAGTCCTATGCTTTGCTTATCGATGAGTTTTGATGATGCCAAACAATTTAGAGAAGCTATTGTGAGGGACTCAATCACTCATCAAAGGAATATCAAATTCACTAGTAATACCAAGGATTATGTTAGAGCAATATGTGCACAAGCTAATTGTCCATGGAAGGTATATGGTGCATTTAGTAAGAAGACCGGGTCATTCCAAATTCGGTCACTTCAGGAGGAGCATAACTGTGGCATTGTATTTGACAACAAAAGAGTGACTAGTGCGTGGTTGGCTAAGCAGTTCTTTAACACCATTAAGACCATGCCAGAAATCAGGACTTCTCAATTGAAACAGCTAGTGAAAGAGCAAGTAGGTGTGAATGTGTCAAAGAATCAATGCAAAAGGGCTAAGTCTAACGTTGTGAGAACATTGATGGGTGCATAGAAAGAAGAATACGCTCAGATTTGGGAGTATTGTAAGGAATGTAGGCTTCAGAATCCACTTGGTAGAATTCATGTAGATATTGTGGAGAAGCCATTGCCTGATCATGGGACACAATTTGGTAGAATGTACGTATGATTTGATGCATGTAAAAAAGGGTTTTTAGCTGGCTGCAGAAGAGTGATAGGGTTAGATGGTTGTTTTTTGAAGGGGTTATGCAAAGGAGAGCTATTGGCTGCCATTGGGAGAGATGGAAACAACCAAATGTTTCCATTAGCATGGGCTGTTGTGAAGATAGAAAACAAGGACACTTGGTCCTGGTTTTTGAAGAATCTAATGGCTGACCTTGGCATACATGATGGAAGAGGTTGGGCATTCATAAGTGATCAACAGAAGGTAATGTCACTAAACTATTGTATTTTTAATATCATTTACATATTGTTGCTTACATATGTTTGTTGGTTTTGTAGGGACTTGTCCCGGCAATTGCTGAGTTGATGCAATATGCTGAGCACAGAATGTGTGCTCGGCATATATATGCAAATTGGGCAAAGAAATACAAAGGTGATCAACTGCAAAGGCAATTCTGGCTAATTGCAAAGAGCACAAATATGACAGAATTCAGAATTCACAAAAAAGCTCTACATGCCTTATCAGCTGAAGCTTTTAATGCATTGTTCCAAACTGAAGCAAAACATTGGTGCAAAGCCTTTTTTAGTGAAGAATTCAAGTGTGATGCCGTGGACAACAATCTTTGCGAGGCATTCAATGGCAGGATCATAGGAGCTAGGTGTAAATCCATCATAAGTATGCTTGAGGACATTAGGATTTTGGTAATGACGAGACTGCAAAAATAGAGAGATGAATGTGCCAATTGGCCTACACAGTGTGGGCCTAGGATTGTGAAAAAATTGGATGACAACATTGTTGCTAGTAGGTTTTGTCATCCAATTTGGAATGGAGACGATGGATACGAGATTATGCATAATGGTGACAAGTATGTTGTTCACTTGGAGAGGAAAAATTGTTCCTGTCGAGCATGGCAGTTGACTGGGATACCTTGTTGTCATGCCATTTGTGCCATCCTGCTCAAGCAAGCCAATCCAAAGGATTATGCAGATGACTGTTATAAGAAACCTAAGTATCTTGCTGCATACCAATTTATGATGCAGCCTTTGAGAAGTAGCAAGTTCTGGGATAAAACAAATCATCCACCCCCAGAACCTCTACCACTGAAGAAGCTGTTTGGCAGGCCCAAGAAGAAAAGGAGGTTGCAGGAAATAGAGATTAGTAGTAACAGAATGAGTAGGGTTGGTGGAATCATACGGTGCTCACTATGCTATCGGGAAGGGCACAATAAGGTTGGTTGTCCAAATAAGAAGCAGCAACAGCGACAAGAGCAGACAACACAGGCCAATGATACAGGGGTACCTCAGGGAGCCACACAAAGTAATGATGGGGAACTAAGTGGGCCAACTCAGTCCAACATTGTACAGCCGAGGAGCAAAATTCAAGTAAGCTCTTTGTTAAGGATATTCCACGTGCATGTAGTTGTTTGTGAATTAACCTCATTCTGTTATGTCATTTTGCAGATTAGAAAAAGACCAAGTGGAGGTGTTTCCACTGACAGTTCTGTACCACAACATACATGTGGTGCACTTGGGAACAGGCTTAGGGAATATGACTATGGGTTGTTTACAGACATGAATACCGGCATGGCCATTTTGAATGTAAGTTTTTTAGTTGTTATGCATTTAACATATGTCATATGATTGACATGGTAACTAATGGTTATATGATTGCACTGGGAGACCTTCGGAGGTGCCGATATCTCAAGGAGGACCAAGTCAAGAATCGGCGCACCACCAAGAACAACAAGAAGTCAAGGGCAAGCACTGCTAAACCAATCAATGGTAACTCGAGCACAATCCAAGAGGAAGCAACCAATGGCACTACCAAATCAGAAGGTGCAAAGGCCAGCTCGAAAGCATGCACCCAAAAATGCCACAACAGCGCTTGCGTCCGAATCAAATGATCCTGGAAATGTCACTACACATCAGTCTCGAACAACCTGCTACCACAGTGGCACCAATCACAAGAAGTTCAGCAGGAGACAACACCAACAAACATCAAGGACCAAGCAAAAGAATGTCTCCTCCAAAAGCTAAGCCAGCTGAAAAAGAAACACGATCGATGGATGTGCCTAGATTTCCAGTTCGAAAGAGTGCGAGGATCATGAACAATATTAAGAGTTGTCCATCGAACAAAGGAAGTGACCAAGTTGTTGACATTGACTAATGGGATGATGGGAAAGTCTATCTATTTATGTGTGTTTAGGGGGATTTTGTTAGGTGTTTAATGTCATTGTTGTATTTTGGCTGGTGATGTGTTTGGTAGCAATGTTGTCAGGTGTTTATGTTGCTGCATTTTGGCTGGTGATAACTTCATTTTAGCAGCAATGTTATTCGAATTTATGTTTTGATGTTGACGTAAGATAACACCATTTTGAGGTGCAAGGATTATGTTATCATGTTTGATGAATGAAATTGCCATTTGGTGTCAAACCAGGCTAGGTTGATGGCAACTTGTTACTTATAGTGCATGTTACAGGATAACGATGTCTAAGAATCTTTGCTTTAAGCTTGAGTGTGTTTAAGAAAGTGAAACCAACAGCTTACAAATTTTTTTTGTTTATGAACCTAAGTGCTTACTTTTAAAAAGTTGAGGAACCTAGGTTATAACTTTTTAAAAATTAGTGAACTTAAGTGTTCTCTTTAAATAATTTGTGGCACTCAAACGATCATTCGTAAAATTATTTGGAACTTCTACTGTCCTTAACACCATACGCAAGATATCCAACACCAACCACAAAATCCAGGTTCATTACAGCTTGCTGCAAAAACTGCAGCAGAAATTGCAAATCATCTTACTCTTTATAAACCCACAATAATGGACAAATTGCATCCTAAAACACCATTTATCAAATCGACCAAATATGGTCATTCGACGCAATCAACAATAATGCACAAATTGCATCATAAAACACCATTTCCACTAAATCAACCATATGTAGCTGTTCAGCTCAGTCAAGCAATCACAACTCAGATATACAAAAATTACCATAACTATTCAAGCATAAACACATTCTAAAGCCTAATATTAATTGCTCCAATTATCATAATACAATTCTTCAACTATGGTGGTAGACTCGTAAGCTTCTTCTTATTACCAACGTTACATATGAACAAAAACCAGACCAAACTCGACAAGAACAACACAAGCAAAACTTGATAAATATCTCTTTGAATTTTCATCCTTGATACTTCATTCTTCAAATGCTTCACCAAAGATTGCAGACCCTTGATTTCTGCTTGCATTGAGTTAGCATCGTCCAACTCATCCATCAATACAGGCCGAGCTTCATGTCTTCCTTGAAGTAGTTCCAAGATCACCGACGTTGCTTGATTCGAAAATTTGGTGTCAACCCACTTGAAATATCCACAATTGAAGTCTTCTCTATACTTAGCGCATCCATGGAACCTTCTCCCCGGATTCGCTCTCGTCCAAGCGGTTCTTGTTGGACTTCGCAGCCCACAATAGCAAAAATATTGACTTTCATCTTCGCTTTGTTCATCAACTCGTGAGCCGCTTCTCCTGCTTTTGCTCCCCATTGCGAATTTCATGAGATGATTTGCCTCAACTTGGACGATTGGAAATTGGGGATTCGATTAGGGTTAAGGTTGAAGAAGACAATTGCTCATTTTGCCCCAATTTATTGAAGAAGCCAAGGGTTTTTGTCCTTGTGATGGTGTACGACGTCGTTTTGAACTTTAAATGCTGACTTCAACTTTCCGGCAAGCCACGTAAGATGAGTTAATATTTTTTTAAGCCACGTCGGACGTTCCGGTGACAATGGCACTTATATGAGCATTTTTTTTTGAAAATGTGGCACTCAAGTGAGCCAAAAAAAAGTTATGGCACTTAAGTGTCCTCCGTACAAAAGTTATGGCACTTGCAGTGTACTTACCCCGGTGAAATTACCATGCAAGATTCTTTCCCAATAGACATGCGATGCACTTGGAGGAAGGTTAAGCATTCATTTGCTTTAACATGTTTCTTCTTTCTCTGTTTCTTTGTACTCTTATGAGAGAAGTTTTTTTTAGAGAAAGAGATACTTATCTATGTTGCAGCAGCGACGAGGCAAACCTGCAAGGCAATAAGAAAGACCGTGTTAATGAACGGCTCTTTGAGGAACAGGAATTGGGAACGATACAACATTACCCTTCGTGATTCCCTTCATTTGAAATTAAATTGACAACTCCTTGAGTTTCCTCGGATGTCGATAATTCCCTTTTGACAAAAACATGAGCTTATGTTAGAAATGAGATAATTGAGGGTAAATTGAGAACGATACAAATTACCCTTCTTCCATTTTGCCTTCAAAGCTAGCAGAGTCTTTTCTCCTCTTTACTTTGTTCAGCCTTCTTTGTTTCAGTCTGCTCCTCCATACTCTTGGTCTCGAAGCTCGAATGAAATCCTCTATAATTAGGGGTGCTTCCAAATAGAGGGTCCTATTGTCAGCGCATGCTGTGTCAATGCGGCCCCGGCATGTTGAGGAGTTTCTCGTAAATGCTCTGATTCCTGACTGCACAAGGCATGTGCAATTGCTTGCATGGGGATCTTCGCAGCAAAGCTAATTTCTGCTTTAAAGGTCTTTGACGGACATGGGTGCGACTACCGTCGAGGCTCCATGGTTGTTAGGATCAGCCTTGACGCCATTTTGTCATATGCAAAGTCCTTTCCAGTTAGACTTGTTACCATGAGTGTTCTTTACTCAATTTTGTCCTATATAAAAGGAAAAGATATATCATTTCTATGCTAAAGTGGATGAACTTTAGGAACGAAATACACCCTTTTTGATGAACTGGGAGATCGCATGCCCCATAGTCTACTCTTCCAATTAAGTACTTCTTCGTCATGTTTCATTCGAGAAGTCTCAACATTGGTGCTCTATCCGGCTCGCTAGCACGTCAGAGTCTAGCATGTCATTTCCAAAATTTGTTAAGGAATAAGACATACCTTTTTCTTTCAAAAGGGGTAATCTTTTCTTGATCTGCCCCTGACTTTTGTACGAAATGATGTTTCGCTCATCATGGAGTCAAAGAATGCTCAGCATTCTCTTTGACTCTCTGGGGCTAATATCGCCCAATGGTAGTAATGAGATATGCCCCATGTTTCATTTGAAGATTGGATGATCTTCGCTCGGACTGCCCTTATCAAATGAGTTGGTCCGCTAGCATCACTAGGGTCTGATGCGCTCTTCAGTTTGTGTCATTTCCAAATGTCCCCTTTGTAATAACAAATCAAAAAGGAATATGCTCTGAGACACGAAGTGAGCGAGTTAGAAAAACAAACAGGGCTATGAGCATGCACGCTTTTCCACCACCGTTCTTTTTTTGCCCTTTTTGAAAAATGATAAAACGTTTGTTTTATTTTCAAAAGCTTAGAAACAAGGAAGCATGAGGAAGCCCAGGCCTCAGAACACTTTCCTTTATGTGGCTGGATATCATCAACGGGCCGGTTTGGTATACTACCTCATGCTCTCAAAACATTATTTATTTACAATACACGGATTTACAACCTCAAAAGAGGGAAAGTTCAAAAAGATATTTCTTTCAGCAGAAATGATGACAAAAAACAAAATACAAGGATAGCTCCTTTTCCAGGGATTCATGCAGAAAGGAGAAGAGGAATTCTACTCAAGCGGGCTTGCGCCCATTCCCTCCACCGGTCCTTCGTCTATTGCGCCGACGAAGAAATCTTCGAAATCATCGTTCCAGGAATTCAGCTCATCGGCTCTTCTCTTCACTGGTGTTATCTTTTCCATGTCGTCCCATCCGCCAGGAATGTTATTCTGCTTGTCTTCATAAAAACTTGATGGCATCTGGTAGTCAACGTAATAGTCGAACTTACCACTGGGCTGGCCTAGGGTATCCATAATTGCCTTACCCTTGCGTACCTTATCAGAAAGCTCAGGGGCAGCGTCACGAAGGCTAGGTACCACCAAGAGGTCATCTTCACCATGACACAACCATAGGGCACGAAAAGTGAATGCCCTAGCATCCAGTAGGTCTTGAATTCTATTCCTCAGAGCGTCACAATCATCCAGTGAGTGCCCGATCTCTCCTGAGTGAAAGTCACAAGATCTGGAGGGATCATAGTTAATAAAGTACTCAGGAGTATGGTACTTTGGCCTCCTCGTGATCAGCCATTTTTGCAAAAGGATAGGGAATATCACATCCATGGATTTGAGAACCGGTGAGTATCGTCGTACATTGCCCTGCCACTGTAAGAGTTGGACATCTCGCCAAGTCATGTCGGGAAGGGCTCCCGACGGTGTTTCTTCGGGACGGTTTACTTGGGTCACTTGCTCTTGATCGGGAAACGGCAGTGACATGTCCGAAATCTGGCCAATGGTATCCATCAAGGATGTGAACAGATCCCGTAGCTCACCTAGCTGATACTGCAAGCGTGCAAACAAATAAGGGGGGTTTGCACTCGTTTCTGAAGTCGAGTCTTCGTGTATGGCCCCTATGAAGATGTCGTCAAATAGGATGACCAC